AATTAATGTCCCCGACTGCACACTTCACATGGTGCAAGTGGCAAAGGGTATATTATGTCTACTTTGCCACACACCCAAAAGGTATGTTCTGTTACTGGGATATAATACTCACATAAGTCCCTCAAGCTGGAAGAATGTCCTAAGCTTCCTGCTGGCACTCAGATCCTGGAGAGACTGACCCCGACTTCTACCCTTTTTCTAAGCACACAGGGTGGTAGGAGAGTCCCTGATTCTTGACAGTGGGAGGCCACAGGGAGGCAGGCTTGTGTGATTGCTTCCTGAGAAATATTCATGCACCTGCTGGGGGTCACTTGATTATTCCTATGTATAAGATGCCAGAAATAAATGGTGTATCTCATTACACTTAACTTTCATTTGAGTAAACATAGTACTGCAATTTTCAGGAGTGCTCTCGAAATATCTGCAGCACTTTAGTGACTATGATGTTGTGACGGAATCCAATCAATTTAGAAAAAAGTAGAAGTTTTGTGTATGAGAGTGGTGCATCTTTCCCTTTTGTACTGAAAGTTTTTCCTTAAGTGTTATTTATACTCAATGTTGCCCCCTGTACATGGTCCCAGCAACCTGAAAGCTAAGACTGTCCTCTGGAAGCTCAAATTAAATGCCCATATACAAAAGAGGACAAGGAGACCCTGGAGAGGCAGAACGGCTCACCAACCTGTAGACTTGGACTGCAAGCTAAAGGATTCCAAAATACTTTCACAAAGCAATGTGTCTCTGATACTGCAGATCCTGGGAAGCCATGGAAATCTGGACGCCTTCACCCTGCCGGTGCAAGTGCACAGGTTCTTCTAACAGCTGCTCTGCTCCTTATCCCTCAGTTGATCCCTTATTGGCCTGCCCTGGGGAACCGGTTTTCTCAACGCTCTGAGAGGCAGTTTCTCCACCTGTAAGGCTGAAAGCCACTCCCTGCACTTGGTAAATGAAACAAAGGCATAAGCTAAAAGTCTGCACACCAGAGGATGCAGTTAACATGTCAAATCAAAGCAGAGCTCTTTGTAGGCACATAGACAGCACAATTGTACTTCTCCTGAATAAGCTATCAGGAATCCTAGTTAATTTGTGTTAGAAGGTTAAAAGTTTGATGATGGAATCTCATGGTTGTAAAGGAGTATAAAAGCAACAGTTTCTACTTTGCATTTGTACTTTACCCTAGTTACTGCCTATGCCTACCACTAAAATGGAAAATTGTTTGAGAAAGAGGATCTCAGATTCTTACCTGCCACCCAGTTATCTGTGTTGCCATGAATGCTTTCTGAGTCATACATTCTGTGTGGAGTTCACTCAATTTTGCCAAGGCATTCTGGAGCTTTTCCTGAGGGAAAAATTGGGTGAAGACAGGCTACTGAATTTGATTAGTCTTTGGACACCTAAAAGAAAGCCCGCATTCTAGGAAGTGTTAAAATACAGTGATTCTGCCCTTTGTTGTGTTCTTACACTTTGTTGGAGAACACTGGGGACTGCATGGTGGTGACACAGATCTGCTCAGTACCTGGAACCCTGGGAGGATTTTTAACATGATTTCTGCATTGTAGAAAAAGCGCCTTGGAAAGATTGAGTAACTGGGCCAAGGTGGTATATATCCAGGAGCAGCGGGGCTCACTGACCAGGAGCAATAACCAAAACCATGTCCAACCATGTCTACCATGTCCATCAGCACAGTGTCACCCAGGAAAAGTTAGACACAAATATGGTCATCCAGGAAACAAGATCTTATAGAATAATCTGCTGAAGAATGCATAATCAAATCCAAGCTGTTTGGTGTGTATGGAACACGGAGGGTATTATAGGCAGAAAGGAAAGAAGATGCCACCTAAAGTTTTAGAAAGTTAGTATATTTGGGACACTTCTGACACATTTAGAGAACAAAATCATAAAAACAAGTTTAAAAAGTTTTAGTATTTATGTCAATGTTTTGGATTGCTTCTTAAAAATGATTTCACATATTTTTCTTGAATTCATTGTCAAGTTGACACCAAATAGTCATCATCTTCAGAAATAAAACTATTTTCTCCTATCCTCTCTAAATCCAGCAGGAGCATTTACAAATTTCCTAGCACTCTCAGGAAAGTACTCGGTCTACCTGATTAGGAAGACTGCATTGTCTGGGTATAACCCAGATGCATTCTAAGCTCTACATATTTTATTTACTTAAATAAGTAAGGAAAAGAGAAGTCTCTGTTTTGTATACTTGTAGATAGGGAAGCCACTGCATTAAGACATTAAACAACTTACCACAAAATGTGCATCTAGTAAGTGTTAGAAACTAAGATTTCAACCTCAGCTGCCTGCCTAAGGGCTGACTACCATGACCCTGAGCTGCTCCTGTCCCTAATGCTTGGTGGGAGAGAAACTCAAACAGGGCCATCCCTGTTTGTAGACATCCCTGTTTACAATTAGCAGCTCCACGGAGTCTAAGGGAGTGCTGCCTGACTAACTGGTGGCCTGGGCTGATGTGACCTTAGGAAGGTCATAGGGCCTTCATAGGAGCCCAGCTGTGTCACAAAAGATGAACTGGGAGCTTGGATGAGTACATAGTTTTGCTGTGTAGCAGGGCCGAGGAGTGTGGCAGCAGGAAAAAGCTGGCTCCTTGCTTCACGACCACCTAGGTCCAAGCTTTCCAAGTTCTCAGGCAGCACGTAGGAGCCACTGAGAAGCCATGTACCACCTACACTCCATAACTAGTAGTTCCAAATCTGTGTCTAGTCTTTAGAACGTTGCTCGCATCTGCCCTCTCTCTCCCTTTCTGATAGAGGTAATCTGCATTTTACCCCTTGAGAGTCCCTGTGTTTTCCCATGCCAGGATGATGGTTTCAATGTCAGTGACCTTCACTCCCTCAGTGAAATTTTCCACAGGCGTGGAACACTGTTGTCTAGGATCTGCACACAGAGCTGACTCTCAGGTCTTGGGCCCTGGCTCTTTGCTTCTTCCCCCCCGCCCCCCATCTTGTCTTGTGGACATGCCCATGGCCTGGGCACAGAGTCAGGAGCCCCCAGTCGTGTGCCTTTGCATGTGTCAGTTCCTTGACCTGGAAACAATGCAGGGCTTAAGTTTATGTGTCCTTCAGGTGTCACTGCTGGGATGTTCCACTCCCTCCCCTCCTGTCTGTGTCACCACCAAAGCCCCGGGCTCTAAGCAGTCACTGTGATGATCTGTGTCTCTACTGGACACTAGGATCCCCACAGGTGATGCGTCCTCTCCCACTTTATTTCCAGATCCTTCGGCAGAGACTTGCACACTGTGGTTTCTCAAATTACATACGGTGAAATAGACACAGTGTGGGTGTTTGCTTGAACAGGGCCCAGAGCAGGAAAAAGTTCATGGTGACACTCAGGATGGGGTCAGAATGGGACCAATAGGACAGTTTGGACTGAACTGAACAAAGGTCCATCATAAGCCATTTTTCAGAAGAACACCATGTAGAACCTTGTTTCAGGATCCCAATCTAAGTTTCAGAATCAAAACTCTCAGACCTTGAGAGCAGCACAGAACAGGTCCCTGTTGAGGTCTGGGCCACACACTCACCTTGTAGCCCTGGTACACGTCCTCCACCAGCACTGTGTTGTGCCCTTGGTGCTGCGGTGCCCGCTCACAGCGCCAACAGATGAGCTGGCCGTCGTCTTCACAGAAGAGCTGGAGCCACTCCCCATTCTACACTGTCTCACATTCTACACTGTCCTCAATCTTCATCTCCTCTAAGACTTCAATGACTCTTTCCAGATGCTTATTGTAGGTCCAGCTGTTTTCAGCAAATGGACACTCACACTGAGGACACAGGAAGCTCCGTGGCAATGGTTCCTTCCTACAGAAGGTCCACATACACAAGTAGCAGTAACTATGTCCGCAGTTGAGGCTTACCGGATGAGCCAACAAGTTTGAGCACATAAAGCAGGTGGTGATCTCCTGCATCTTCTGCATGGGAGTGGTTGAGGCCATGTCTTCTCTGGTAAAGCTCCAATGTGGATCTAGAGGTGAAGATGACCCAGACAGAATTTCCTCAGGGCTGGAAACACAGCTGACTTGAGCTTGTGTGAAACAAGCTGAATGCTGCTACTCTCAATTCATGTGACAGTCTTAACTCTGTGAAGAAGAAAGACTTTCTAATTTAGAAAACGCTTAAGTATCTAGCTGTGTTGTCAATACAACAGAAACTGATGTGTGTAGACATTAAATTTAACTTAATAAATATTCAGTAAGTTGAAAATCCAGTCTCTGACTTGCTAGACACATTTCAGTTGCCCAACAGCTCCTTGTGGCTGGTATTTACAGGATGCCCCTGCCAAAGACCACTTCCTCAGAGCATGAAATTGCATGTTGCAGCAGAAACCACAGATCAGTGAGGCCATGGGAAACGCCTTCTTGTTCTAAACAACAGTTAGCACCAGAATGATCTCTTTTTACTTTGTGGGCAGTTGGCTGGTCTCCGGAGGATTCTGACCAGACGGTCCAACGGAAGCCACCATAATCCCACTCCCAATCCATATATTATAGGAGATGGCCTTCACAAAGTGCAATGGAGACCCAACAAGGAAGATGGCAAATATAACCAAGGCAACCAGAAGAACTAGTTTTATTCTTCTTGTGTCCCCTCTCTCAACTTAGGGAAAAAACTGAAAAGAGGCCTGTGAGGGTACAGCAGCCTGGCTATTCCTGGGGACAACGTATGCCAGAACCAGGAAGCTTTACTGTGAGAGCTGTGGTTCTCTGGCATTTCCTGAAGAAGAGCCCAGGGCCCTGCTGTCTGCAAACACTCTCTCCACGCCCACCTCTTGCAGATATGCACCCGTGCTTCACCCTCTGCCCACTACACTTGCCTGTTTTCTGCTAATTCTCTCCAAGGCTGCCACTTCATGGAGCTGAGGCAGTCACTTGCCTCGGAGGAAGAAAAGAGAAACTACTGAGGGAGGCGGGGCCACAGACTTGAGACCAATGAGGAGAGAAGGCTGTGAGCTCAGCTTCTCCTGAAAGGCAAAGGGAACACTGGGTAAACACTCCCTTAAAGCTGCACATTTCAGGAGTGAGCTAGCTTGTATTAGATTTCTGCACTGGGTTGGGCTGAATGCCTGCTGCCTCACTAGATGCCTGACCACCCATGATGTGGCTCCTGTCCCCATTTCTCTCAGCCTCCCACTGAACAGTGTTAGACTCTGAGGAGCATTTGAAGCTAACCCACCCCTTGGAACTAGAAAGAAACCACTGAACCTGAGCCAGACTGTGTAGTGCAGCCCTCCTCTCCTGATGACTCTTCAGGCCAAATGAGGCTCTCGGAGATCAACTCATTGAAGCCTATTTTTGCTTTTTTCCTTTTTAAGGAAAATCAAGATAAGAAGCGGTTGAGAACGGGAACTCTGAGGTCTCTGAATCCAATATTAAACACTTTGCTAGTATCTGGCTCACTTGAGGTTTTTACATCTAGAGATCAGAATGCAGATGAAAACAGCTTCCATGATCCTATAGGAAATCAGTCCAGTGCGCCCACTGCAGAAACCTGAATGTCTGTCCTACTTCCTGATGAGACAAATGTCAAATGGCAAAATCCAAGCAGCCCATCATTCCTCCACTGATGCTCCAGGATAAGCAGTTCCCATCCAGGATCAGAGTTTTCCACCAGGACCATCAGTGGCACAGGGGCAGACACTACAGAAGGGCCCTTCCAGACTGCCCTTTTGTCTCCTACTAGTCCTAATTGCATGGAAAAATCTTGAACTATGTTCCAGGGATTTTTGAAGACACTAGTTTTACAATCCAGTACATTACGAGTACCAGTGTAAATTAAGCACCTAGTTCTTCCAGGATAAATGTGAGGAGGCTTCTCCTGAAGTTCTCTTTTGAGATGGGAACCAGATCACCAAGAGACTGAAATTGAAATATGTATGGACTCTCTCTGATGTGCTCAAGGCACTTGTGTTTGTGGTAGGGATTGTTTAAAGTATTCCAAGGTCTTGCCATACCATTGGCAAATCAAGAGAACAACTCTTCCAAAGTGGCAGAGTGTTTCCAATGATGCTCAGGAGTACGTGGAAAGATTTTATTGTAATCCAGAAATTGATCAGATGGGAATGAAGGATAGAAGACAAGAATTGGGGCAGAGTCAAATGCCATGAATGTGCATAAAGCACTTGAATGGGATCAGCTATGAAGTCTTGTCCACACCACCCTCCAGCAATGTCAGCTCTAAGTACCATACAGTTTGGGAATCCTTTTGTGAAGAACACATTGGATGGTGCGTGTCCTGAGCCTATGTCTTGTTTGACTCAAGAAACCAGCCCTTGGAGTCTGAAAGAGGTCCAACTTATGATGTGCGATGACTGCTACATACTTCACAACTCATTGCTGAGGAGAGAAATACAAAGGAGACTTCTCTTTATCTGTTTTATGTTGCTTCCATAATTACAGACACTTGGTAGGGTCCCCATTCAGGTTCCTCCAACTCTTCAAACAACCTTAGCATCCCAAGTCATCTGTGCAGATGGTGTCACCTCAGCAAAGTTTTATCCTGAAACTTTATATACATCCATCTCAGGATGGTATTCAAGTGCCTGTTTCTGCACAGGAGAAAATTTGCTGTATTCTTTACATGTTTTTTCATAAATCTGTGCTTAAGTATAAGTGTAATCTTACTAACATTGAGAGTTTATAATCAGTCCCCTAGGGAGAAATATAATAGGAGAAAGGAGCATATGATGGGAAAATGTTCTGTGATACTATAATAAACAAGACATTTATTTTATGAACAACCCAGAATCTGGTAATGGAATCAGCCCCACAGCTTTGACTCTCAATCTGTGAAAAGTGTGCTACCATGTTTGGGCAAGGCAGTTATTTTTCAAAGGAAGGAAGGTGGTCTCATAAGTTCTAAGAAGTCCTCTGAAGCCATCTATTTTTGGTTTGGGGCCTAAGGGCTGACTTGCAGTTGCATAAGGGGCTGTAATTTGAGAAGTCCCTTCTAGTCAATTCTGGCACCATCCTCAGTGACCTGTGTGACTCTCTATAATTTCTTTGACCCTCACATTTTTGTTCTTTTTAAGGTTAATCGGAGTTACCCTTATTTTGTCATCTAATATGAAGTCGTCAGTTTCTATCTGAAAAATCATGGTACCGCTATGATTTGATATGAACCCAGACCAGAAGTATAGCAGGTTTTGAATGGGGGGAGTGCATAGGAATCAGCATTGCACAGTGGTAGGCCACTTTTCAGGCCCATTTTTCAAGTGTTAGAAAGTGTAATTTTTTTAAGGAAATCAAGTTCTTAAAGGACCACTTATTCGTTAATTGTTTCCTAAGTGTTGTTAGTACACTCAGTGTGGGAAATGCTAAGGTTTGCTTCCCACCATACAGCTTCTCCAAATTATTTGTTGGATTGAAATTATTGTTAAAGATGAAAATCCAACCCCTGTAGCTGCCTTTCTAGATGCAGCTGGTTCCCTGCCTGACTTTCTTCTTTATTCCTCTTACTTAACAGAAATGCACACTTGGAAATTGTGCCCTGCTAGAGCACTGTTACATGAATGTGCTAGGGCTTCAGTTCAGAGAGGTAGCGGCTGGATCTACTTCACTTAGACAAAGAAAATATCTGGGTTCATTGATGTGGAAGTGGGTGTTCACAAAAGAACTTACCACAGTATTGTTCAGATGCCAGGTCTCTTATTCTGTTTGTAGTTGCTTCATTAACGCCAACTTTTCAGGAACTTCTCTGTTGGTTAAAGCGAGATGCTGCTATGCTGGTGTCTTAGCTGATCCATCTGTTGAAGCACCTACCACAGCTTCCATGCAGTTACTTATTTTTGCCCCAGTTAATCCTGTTGTTCACTGCCATAGTCAAGAACCAGGAAGCTGTGGCAGGTGTTCTTTCATTTGGTAGTAACTTGATCTCAGTCTTTTCAAGTTAAGACACTTCACCACTGATTATTTGATTTTTATGAGATGTCCCATTTTTTTCGCCTTAAAGGAATTGAAAGCTTTAGACATACTTATTTTGAATACAACTAAACAAAAGTGAAGTCATGGGAATTCTTTTTGAAAAAGCAGCACATATTAATACATGTACCAACTCCCCACTAGGAAGATCATTATGTACTGCAAACCTTTACTAATAACTAATAACTAATAACATTTAAAATTTTTAAAGAATAGAAGCTAAACAGAAAGCACAATAATAACACAAGAAACTCTCTGTGACCTGGCACAGGTAGTGGAGGATCAGAGGCCTGCAGAGGGCCAGCTCACAGCTCTGAAGAGAGATCTTTCTCTTCTGTCTTCAACCCTCCTGGAGTCCACAAGCCTCCTAACCTGTGGTATTTTTAACTCCTTCTGGGTGACTTGTGATTTTCTCACAGTTCTGATAAGGTGGAAAGGGGAAGCAGCCCGTGGGCTCCTTGAAGTCACTACATCCTCCTAGCCAGCCTCCCACTCCTCTCCTTCCAGTGCTGGGTCTCCTCTGCCTTCCCCTACCTCTCTACAGAACTCAAATATTTTCCAGCACCACGTCTCTCCCTCCCAGGACAGGAAACAGGAGTCACTAGTGGTCTGTCCTTGTTTTAGGACCCTGTGGTATTGGCCCCATGGCTCCACCCTAGGCACTGTGGAGAAAAGGCTCTGGGTTTGGTGGTAAAGTCCTTAGGGCTTCAGCTCCAGCTTCTCCTTTACAAATAGAAAGACAGTTACCATCGAAATGGAATTATTTCTGAATGGAAAGCAGCAGATCATCACCTTGAACTTATACCTTGATATTTCTCCAGCCTTGAGTATAATAGGCTTTCATTGTAAACGCCCAGGAAATTCTGGGTTAAGAAATAAACTGTATAGGGAGCTGGGAACATGGAAAGAAGGAGACAGTGCTGGATTCCGGGAGCTCTCTTGGGCCATCTCTGAGCCCCTAGCCTGGCTGAGCAGGTACTGACTTGACAGATGACTGCAGTGAGTGACTAGGGCAATAGACTGCAGAGGGACATGGAGTTCTGGGGGCCACAGTCCTTCCTGTCGAACACCTCAGGGTAGACACAAGTGTGTTAAACGAATCCCCTCCCCCACTTCAAATAAGAGGTATTTCTCAGCACTCTGTGCTTGTGGGAGTCACAGAGACTTCTGTCATTTAGCCACAAGTAATTCACTGTGTCCTGGCAGGTCCTGTGGGAGCAGAGTTTACACAGTGCAGGATGGATCAACTCCTGAGGAAACCAGCATGCAGACAGCTGCGCAGGAACGAACCATCAATTCCCAACCCCGCGATATCTCCTTCATAGACCTCACTTTCATTTTTGCTCATGGGACTGTGAATTCAGGCTCAGTTCACCTACATTTGTCCTATCACAGCAGTAAGAAAAGAAAGCTTGCAAATTCAAAACAAACAAACTCCAAGCTACCACTACCAACAAACAACACCAGTTGAATGAAACAAGACAGAGCCTGTGTTATAAGAGCCTTTCCTGCCTCACCCCTGCTTCCTATTGTGTGAAGTACAAATTTGTTCAGGCGGGAAGATCCAGGACTCAGAAAGGGAAAGGAGCCGGAGGAGCCTCGGGTCTGCATCCCCAAAGCTACACCTATGGCGGTGCCAGCAGAACTCTCTCACAGAGAAAGGCATCAGCTTCTTCAGTAAGAATGCACTTAATCCTGAGAGTCTAGGGTGCAGGGGACAGAGACCCTGAGTGTGGACTGGGTCATTAGAGTCTCTAGAAAATGCCTGAGCCTGAGTTCTCTTTTTGGGAAGAGTCAATCCCACATAGCCTTTGAGCACCTTCCCTGGACTCCAAGTTTCGTCCTCAACCAGCTCTCCCTGGTCCTCTGCTCACTCTTGTGCCCTTGCTCATCCCAACTCCTCCAAATCCCACTACTTTCTTGCAGAGCAGTTTCCACTAAATATTTTACTTGTGTATGTGGTTTATTTTCAGCTTCCCCTATTAGAATTCAAGCTCCATAAAGACAGAGATTCTCATTAATATTATTCTCTGACAATCCCCCCGTTGTCTACACTGTTTTGGGTTTAGTGATTTGTATTAAATTGAAAAATGTCTGATTTGCAATAAATGCACATTTTAGGAAGTACATTCACACCTCTGACTAACGTGTGTGATACGGTATGAGGGGTATGTGGCTATGTACTGATGTGTTCTGGATTGTACGTACCTTGTATGTACATGTGTGTTGGGGGAGAAGGCAGATTACCATTGCCAGTGGTATCAGAGAATATATGCATGGTGCTTTTTAGTTTTGTTACCTAACAAATTATTCAGGCTCATGGGAGGCCCACTGAGCATGGAGTCTTGGATACATGAGGACCCCACATGGGAACATGGAGGAGGGGTAGGTTAATGGTATTCTCAGGATTGATCTGGGGTGGCAAAGGCCCTGGACAAGACCAAAACACTGATCCCTGGTGACAGCCTGGAATGAGCCCTCCGGTGTTACCCCAGAGCTGCAGGATGTCAGTGTTCTGCTCAAACCTGTCAATTGTGTCTCTTATGATTTGTCAGGAGTGGGTTGGTTACCAGTAGGTCACTGAGCACTCTAAGGGGACCCAAGGTGGTGCAGGGGTCCAGATCTGCTGGTCTGGGGTGGATCTCACAGGGTGGCGACAATTCTTTGTTCTCATTCTGAAAGGGAATCCTTACTTTTCTGGAGTAATGAAGGTCAGAAAAGGGATGGACTTAATCCATGATTCCTGCGTTCCTTGGATAGTAAGTGATGGTGGACGAATAAGCCTTCTTATTCTTCCTTTAACTTCCTGTAACTCAATTTCTAATTTTATCTCTATTCCATCCTTTATTTGGTTCCCATAGAGTTATCTTCTTCATTTTCTAAAAAACATTTTCTGTACTTGAGAGCTTATTTTAGTTTCTAATATAAGGGTTTAAAGATATAGTGTATCTTCTGAGCAGAATGCTCCATGCTCTGCCAACATGACAAAGGCTTCCTCTTTCTTGGCAAGACCACACTTGGCAAAAGATAGAACTATAGGACACTGTCCATGAGTTCAAACTCCTAAGCTGCAAAAGTAAAAGGACTTTATTTGGGGTCTTAGCAATTATAATTCAGAAGACATGAGTTTAGATATTGCTGAATCAGCAAAAACATAGTCCATGTGTCTGATAAAAGAGTATATAAGCAGAATGCAATGTCTATAAGACAAGAATACTCTACCCTCTTCATGTACTAGACACAACACACAAATGGAACTGTCCTATTGTTACTGAATGAGGTTCTTCTACTTCAGTCACTGGGAAATGAATAATGAATTCTGGAAGCAGGCATGAATGTTTATGCAATGGCCAATACTCACATTCCCCAGCAGTTCTAGGGTTTAGATTTTCACCAGAATTAGATATTAGGGAGCCATTAGTGGGAAGGGCAGGAGATGGTCAGAAACCAGCATGCCCACTTTGTTCTTCCATTACTTGGGCATGGACGGATCTAGAATAGTGTGGGTGTATTTTGTCGTTATTGTAATCTCATTCTATATATTATCTCATTTTTATGTGCATAAGCTCAAGATGGTCAGGAGTGTTAGCATGCCCACCCAAAACAATCAAGCTTTCTGGAGTTTCCCCTGGCCCTTAGGAGTAGATGCTAAATCCATGTTCCATGGTAGGCAGTTGGAACGTATGGTTAGCAACACCCAAGCTTTACCTTGTAACTTGCAGGGAAGTAGGGGTAACTTCCTGAAAAGCTTCCTGAAAAGCTCTCTTGATGTTGCTTGCATCACATTCTCTCCTTTTATTTTCACAAGACCAGAAATAGAAAACGTGTCTGTAATGAGGATCTTGAACAAGGAAAACTTCTCAGTTACACAATGGAGCCAGTGAGTTAGAACTATGGGGATAGAGAACACATATGACTAGTGTTTTTGTTGAGGTACGAAGGAAACCCTTTTTTCAGTCATTTGAACTTCTCCATGTGGGCCTCTGTAAACTAAACCAACAAACAACATATAACAAGAGAACAGGGAACTGAAATTTATTAGCCTGTACACCAGGCATATACAGGGGAATACTCAAGGGATAAGTAATGCAGAGGAGTGTTAGAAGTGGGGCCACAGAGCATTTTAACAAAAGAAAATACATTATTAGACAAATAATGAGTCAAAATAAGGACTTTGTGTTTCTAGGGTGATAAATTGTGGGAGGGCAAATATATAGGAAAGCTAATGGTAGGTAAAGCCTGTTTTGTTTTGTTTTTTTACAAGACTATAATGAAGTTTCCCTCGATCCTGATGCCAACCTGGAGTCTCTGGTAATTAACAGCTGTAGTTTTCTAAAGGGAGGAACTCTTTACAAATTTATCTCCTATATTTAGGGAGGGTGAAGGGCGGGTAGGGGAAGAGGAAGAAGGGAAGGGGAAGGAGAAACGGGAAAGAAGGAGAGATGGGGGAGAAAGAGGCAGGGGAGAGATATTTTTTATTGGCTTTTTTTTTTTTTTCAGCTGTTTTCAGCTCAAAATAATCCAGTGCTGAAATACTTCTGTTAGGAAAACAGATTATGGGATGCTTCACTTGATACTCACAGCCCTGCCTCCACCAGCGTGACCAGGAAGACTCCTTATACTGGGAGCTTGGGCTGATGGTCTGACCTCTTCTAGGTCTCTCTGGACAGAGATGGAGGCCCCAGCATGCCTCTGATATCCAGAAACAGCTCTGGCTTAATTTCTCCTTAATTTCTTAATTCTCCAGAGGACTTCAACAATATCAGCAAACCTCAATTTTACATGAGCAACAAATTATTGTAATATTCAGTGACTTTGGACTTTAATCATCAATACTAATATTATTTGTCCTTTGGCAGACTTCACTATGGTCCTGTCATTAGCCCACTTATATATGACCATGTAAAATTGATTTCAGTTTTCATGATAAACCTACTATTTTGCCATATCTGAGTCAGAACAAAGAGTGCTGACAATTATTCCACCAAATACTATTTATGGGAATGTGAATACATTTCAAAACAGATAACTGCAGCACAATCTGGAAAATGCTAAATTCTTTGTCTTTTCCAGAATTAAATCCCCTATGAAAATCAATGATTTAGTCACATTCCACTTTCTATTTGATGCATCTCTCAGTAAATAGTTTTTCTTTTCTCTCACATTACTTGGTGATTTCCCAGGGAAGCTCACAAGGTGGCAGAATTATAGGTCCATCCAGGATTATAGTGGATATTATTAATCAATATATCTGTGGTTGGGAAGCCACTGCTATTTTGATTTTCCTGCTCTTTCCTGGAATGGCGTTCTTTCATTTCCCACACGCTAATTTAAACAGCTCAAAAAAAGGTGAAGAAATACAGGCCTCTTTGCCTCAAAGTCACCCAAATCATCCACCAATGATGACCACAAATCAGAGAATGGAATCCAGTGGAGAGAGAGTCAGAGGATGATGACATATCACGTTATCTTGCTTTCCTCTCAATCAGGCTGACCATCTATGCTATTCTTACAGCCTTTACAGCCATTAATTCAATACAGATATCTTTAATATCTTCTAAAAATCCAGCCTTGTTCTAGGTACTGAAGAAATAGTAGTGAAGAAAAATGACCAAATTTCTGCCTTTTATGGGCTCTACTTTTCTGTCGGTTTAAAACAAGGAGATTTTGCTGCTTTACTTATTCATTGCATGAAGGCAGGAACAAAGGTGAGTACTGATAAACTTGGAAAAAGGGCCGCAGGGTATCAGAGAAGGAAGCCTTCGGGAAGGTGAAGATGTGGGAGCCAGTGGTCATGTTGTAAAAGGACACAGTTCCAGCCTCATAGTCCAGAACAATCCCCACCACCAGGGGTTGCTCCTGCAGCTCAAGGGCAGTTGGGGGAGAGGTCAGTGCTGCATAGCCATTCTCCGGGCACAGCCGGATGGCCCAGAATCCAAGCTCAGGCTCCTGCTTCATGCCAAGGCCCCGCTCTACATTTTCCATACAGACTCCCACATCCCAAGCTGTTCCTTCTCCAACATCCACTTCGAAGTAGTGTCTTCCTGAGGTGAAGCCCTCACAGCCCAGGACACAGGGGAAGGCTGTAAACCTCCTGGAAGAAACTTCAAGATTCTGTTGGCTGTATCCCCGAGACACTTGTCTCCGATCCTTAGACAGATATAGGTGAGGATGAGCTGTATCTGGATCCAGGGTCACACCAACTGCAAAAACCAACCAGCGTGAAACAAAGACACAAGCAATAAAAATCGTGAGGATTTTGGTCACTGAGAATACAATTTAATTAAAACCAGACCATACTAAATTCAATCATTTGTTTCTTTTTTTTTTTTTTTTTTTTTTTTTTTTTTTTTTAGTTTTTCTCAGGTACCAGGAACCGAACTCACGACCTTGCGCTTGCCAGGCAGGCACTTTGCCGCTGAGCTAAATCCCCAGCCCTCAATCATTTGTTTCTTACTAGGTATATGAGCTAAGTAACAAGTGAAAATTATCATATATGTTGCACAGAATGGTGAGGAGAATCCAGTGAGCTAATGTTTCCCTAGTGTTTAGCAAAATTCTTTGGACACAGTAAGCTCCCAATATGGTGCCATAATAATAATATCCTCCATGCCTTTGTGTTCATCAGCCCCATGTAGTATCTCAGAGACACCAAGGCCCAGAGTGAAGATGGTTCCTGTCCTGTGCAAAGCCATTCTTTGCCCTGGAAACCTTCAGCAAACAGGGAATTTAGGAGCTGAAGGGAGCCCTTCTCCATCTCCACTCACATACCAGAGATGTGCCAGAAGACAGTGTATACACAACAGTGTAACTGAGAAACCAAATTTTCAATATACATATACACTCATATATACATATTATATATGTACAACACTATATATATTTAACATGTGTGTTTACATACAAAATACATGTTAAACATTTTATATGTCCACATAAAAAAACCAGTTTTTTGTTTTGTTCTGGTTTTTGGATACAAGATCTCATTGTATAGCCCAGGTTGACCTCAATCTGTGATCATCTTTCCTCAGTCTCCTTAGTGTTATGATTATAGGTGTGTGCCATGAAAATTCACTAAAAGTCAAGCTTTTCTATATTAATATGTTACTTGTAATGGATAGTATATAATACACTATATCAAAGACATATAATCCTTCTGTATTTTAGATATATCAAAGTTTGGTTCACTACATTGCATATTGTCAAAAACATAGATTTCTCTGTCTTCACATATAAGTAAAAAGGCTGGTGGGATGGTTTTGTTATCAACAAGACAGGATCAAGCTTTGCTGCAAACAGAATGTGTCATAACAGAGGAAGTGGAGCATTGGGTGTAAGTAAAAGAACAGGAATGTCTTTATGGTACTTTATTAAAATGTATGGCCTCACTTTCTGCATGAGCAGGTGTGTGTAAGATTCTCTCACCTACCTAGCAACTGTCACCACTATCACCACAATATGTTCATAATGCTTTCAGACTAAAGTTGGCAGCTACTTTTATGATGTCAGGATTCCTCTTTGCCCAAAAGGCTATGTTTATGTTAACTACCTCAGATAGCCATCTCTTTCCTGGCAATGTGATTGTAGTACAATAAGGACTCACATATTACCTTCAAACTGGAGTATAAAATCTGTATTATTATATTATATATAATGAAATGTACATGTAATGTATATTTATAAATTTCAGTTATCCTGAGAATATAACTGGGGTTTATAATTAGAAAATAAATTGTCAAAACACCACACTTTGGGATCACAGGAAAAGAACCTCAGGGTGCTATCAATGAATACAACAAGCTCAGTTGCTTGTTGATGGCTGAGCTCTTTGGAAACAAGTCACAAACTGCAGAGGAAAATAAACCTGCCCTAAATCTGAACCTTTATCAAAAGGAGAATGAAAGCATACAATGACACTCACATACCAGAAGAAGCTCTCAGGAATCAAAAAGGAAAGAATCCAATAAAAATTCTTAAACCACAGAAAATCAGGACTAAAACACAGAAGCTTGTTGGGCTGATAGCCATAGCAAGCAAACCTCAACCAACTCTGCAACATCTGCTCAAGACTGCCGGGGAGAGTGGTACTGTACTGACTGTGTATGGTACCCCCATCACTGCACCGAGAGAGCTAGTAAAACTGAAGAAACTAAAATTAAGTGCAGAATGAAGTATCAAATTAAATCCATCAGATAGGTGAAAATTATCAATTATATCCAGCAAATAAGGGCTATGTGGAGCAGTGGGAGTTCTAGTGCTGCTGGAGGACAAAAAGGGACGATCTCCTGCTGCTCTATGGGACTTAGGGGCATGAAGATGAGCATCCAAAACATGAGCACTTTTACTTCAAGGTCCTGGTTTCTAAAGTACATCTCCTCCCTGCAGGGTGTAAGGTAGACTCATGTGACCAAAGCATCACCTATTTCTGCAGCCATAGGTAGATTCAAAGCACATGGGATAAAGGAAGAATTTGAAGAGTCTCACATAGTGCAGTTCATATCTAGTCATTGGAGGAGATGGACAGGAGGACTTATCTCCGGGTTGTTAGTGTTTACACCCTTGTTTTGGTCTGTTCATATTTTTTGGGTGTTTGTGTTTTTTTCAGGATTCATGGCTGACCATAACTATATTTTCTTATAAACATTCATTTCAACTTTAAAAAAACCTAGAATTTAAATATTTCCTGAAACATCACATGCAAATCTGTCCTTACTACTTAGGATCTTTCAAATAAAACATAGATTTTCTGACACTCAGTGTTCCTTTTTAAAATAAAAGCAATGAAGCAATGAAACAGTGATTGATACCAACTACATTATGCATGCTTGTAGCACAGCTTACAATATAGCACCTATACTACATTTTATATTTCAGATCATTTTTCCCCTGGCAGCCACTTTAGCAGGAGAGAAGCTGTCTGTCTCCATGAGAGCAGAGTCTCTGGCTTTGTGTGTTCGTTTCAGGGCTTGCAGAATTAAAATGCTGCTCTTACATGCACATTACTTGGCACTGGCAGCATTCCTCTGCTTTTATATTCAGAAAGGATTTTTACTCTAACTTTAAGTGTTCCCAATTTACTGTACTCTCTCTGAAGACATTGTTTCTAGTGGTAACCTTAAATACTAACTTAAATGTATAGGAGAAATTCAAATAGAATAAAAGTATGTAATCCCTAAAAGACTAGTGACCTTCTTGCATGTTTATGCATGGGTCAAAATAAGACATATAGTTTTATTGGGTGTAAAACATTATTTCCTCAAAAAATAGTGATTTCTGTACAACAAATTAAGGAAGAAAATATGCTTAGGTTAAAATACACTTACATATTTTACAATCTACACAATTACTTGTTTCATCAAGAGAATAAAAGTGAACTTGTGAAAATTGTCAGAAATATTTGATAATTAATCTTGATCTGTCAACTTAGATGGGTTAAGAATTGTCCAGTAAATCAGTAACACATGTTACTGGATGTGTCTGGGTGGGTCATGGAAGTGCGACCTTGGGTACTATTTGTGGTCCCTCACCCCTTCCTCTCTGCCACTGTCCCCCTGCTCTGCTCCCTGGCTGGCCTGAATTAAGCAGTTCTGCTCTACCCACCATGCCCCTCCACCAAGATGCTTCTGCCCTGAGCCACTTGATCATGTACTAAACCTCCTAAAACTGTAAGCTAAATTAAATGTCATTTCTTTTAATTTGTAGGTGTTGGGTATTGTGTCCAGCAACAGGAAAGCTGACTAATACAAACATTAAGAACTTCATATGAATAATACATGAAAGAGAAATGAAATATTAATAAAAGTTTAACTTTACATCACTGATAATCTCAGGTTCAGTGATAATTTAAAGAAAGCTTTCTGCCAAAATAACTGAAACTCATGCATTCAGACTATTTCACAATCACTAAGAATGAAAAACTACAAAATCAACCTAACTACTTTGTTTCCAAGTGGGGTGTGTATGTGTGTGTGTGTGTGTGTGTGTGTGTGTGTGTGTTTCTGGGTGTCTCAAATGGTGTGGGGAGGTTGGGAAATGTATACCTGGAAAAAAGCCAGTGATTTTACTATCAAACGTTGAGAATTATAGTCCAAAATTTTCTGCTATATATCACTATATGCAAAAAAAAAAGGAAAAAAATGAAACAAACTTGCATTATACTGTAAAACTATGAGCACTTGATACTTGAATCTCAATGTAGTTTTCTGTCAAAATGTAAATAAGGGGCTGGGGATTTAGCTCAGTGGCAAAGCACCTGCCTGGCAAGCACAAGGTCGTGAGTTTGATTCCTGGTACTGGGAGAAAAACAAAAACAAACAAACAAAATGTAAATAAATTCATCTACAAGTGCTAAACATGAAGCATAGTTTTAAGTGTGTAGATCTTTGTGAAATTAAATGTGCAGACCTTTGTGAAATTCCTGTAAGTGTGGGCAGGGCCTAATAATTTCTTCTGAACAAGAGAAGATGGAAAAAATGGTAAGCAACTCCTGTGATTAAGTTTCACTGTTTACACACCGACTTGTTGGCAGAGTTGCTACAGAGACTCCCTCTGCTGAATGCATACTGCTGGGAAAATTGGCCTTGTGGGACACTCACCTGCAAGGAGCTAATGGAGAAGGTTCCTAGAAGCTGAGGCCAGTCTGCAGCCATAGCCAGCACAAGGCCAGGGCCCTAAATCCTGCAATCCAAGGGTAACGAATCCTGCCAGCAACCTAAGTGAGTGGAGGGAGGGAGACCTTCTCCAGGTGAATGTTTGTGGCAGCACAACCTCAGCATAGAAGAGAAAACAGGGAAAGTGAGACAGCTCCACTGAACATAACTCCACAACATCTGCTCAAGACTGCCTGGGACAGTGGTACTGTGCTGACTGTGTATGGTCCCTCCCATCACAGCACTGAGGGTGCTCTGAGCTCTCATACCTTGATGGCGTCTTAACATCGCCTTCACATCCAAGTAAAGCTCAGCAACATCACACGCAGTCTGAACCTCCAAGGAAAAGACCTCAGGAGCTTCCAGCTTCACAGCACAAGTCCTGGAAGAAGCAGAGGCAGAAACTCCTCACCGCTCCTCTCCATTCAGCACTGTCCTCCCAGACCCTCCCTTCCCGTGTTCACATGGGACTCACCTGCTCAAGGTTTCTTTCACATCCTACAAAGAAACAAAACAAAAGACGAACGTGTTAGCATCAGGATTCCATGGGCTGTGGCACGGGAGACGCTGTCTGTAAACACAACTCCCCAAGAAGGAAAGAAGGATCCAGCCTGAGACACTGCGGCAGAGTCAGGAGCAATGATCCCACTCAGCCTCTGTCCACTCCTCAGGAGGCTGTGATCTCCTTGGGGAATCCTGTGGGGGAGGGCAGTGGCATCAGCCTGTGGCTGTGGGGGATGTGGGCAGGAGATCTGCTTAGTCTCCCTCCGGCAAGACTGGCTCGTAGGGACCTGATGTCCTGAAGAGTGAGCCCATTTTAGAGATCACTTGTCACTAAGGTCCTCCACAGTGACTGCATACACAGCACCTGAGACTCTGAGCCACAGAGAGGATGGCAGCTGGCATCACGGGGTGGTGCAGAAGATGCGCTATATTTCACCTAGAGTGTGACTACCAGAATTAACCGCTCAAATAGCGGGCGCCCAAATTAACAGCTGCAGCAGTTTATCTTAATTGAGTGCATCCATTTATGCAGCTGTACAAACACACAGTACCTCTGCAACAAGGATTTTACCGGCAAATCAGGGAAAAAAATTATCCTGGCTTTGGGCTGCCCTAGTGTTACGATCTGGCACCTGGAAGAGTATTTCAGGAGAAAGTCTGACAGTCATGGAACTGAGCCAGTGAAACAAAGAAAGGGTTGCCAAAGTTATCCCATGGTTCCCTTTGGTCACTCTATGTTCACCCAGAGGAAGTAGGTTTTCTAATTTTCATAAGGCAAAGACAGACCAGTGGGACAATCCTGATGATATTGATATGTAAGGTAAGAGAAACATTAAAATCTTTACAATAATACCTGTGTTCAAGAGAAAGAGGCTTAACAATCTTCCCATACTGTCTTATCAGAATCTTTCTTTCCTTCTGTGAATTCACAGCCTCACCTGTAGTACTTTCTGGGCTGAGCTCTGACATTTTTCCTCCAGTACCAGGATGTGGCTCTTGAGCTCATCACACTTCTGCTGTAGGTTGGCTTCACTCTCCCTCATTCTCATCAGCATCTGGTCTTCTTCTTTTTCCAGCCTCCAGAGATATGATTTCTCCTCCGTACGTAGAAACTCATGGAGACTGTTAAAGTCAGACTTGATGTTTTGTCTTCGAGTTTCTATCTCAGCCTAGAGTCAAGAAAGTACGATCAAACATATAAACAAATCAGGTGTTTATGCATGGACGAAAGATAAACAAAATGCACAATGTAGAGTCTTTCCTAGTCTTTAAAAAGAATGAAAGTCTTAACCTGTGCTACAGCAAGGAGGAAAGTTGAAGACCTTCTGCTAAGTAAAATAAACCCCAAACAAGGACACAAATATTGTACATTTGACATATCAGGAAGCTACTATAGTTCAATTCATAAAGACAGAAAGCAGAATAGTGGCTGCTAGGTGATAGCAGAAAGGAAAGAATGAGGAATTAATGCCTAATGGAGTCAGAATGTTACTTTGGAAGATAAAATTACTTCTCAAAATGGATTTGGTGATGGCTACACTTAGTGCCTCTGAGTTGTACATGTCAAATGGTAAAAATGGCAAACTTTGTGTAATGCATATTCTACAAACTCATGAAAAAGAAAGTATGATCAGCAGCTATTTGTTATATAATTTTTTAATGTATCATTCAAGCTGGAAGAATGTCCTAAAGGCTCCTGCTGGCACTGAGATGTTGGAAATATTGACTCTGTCTTCTCAATAGTCACCCAATTCATGTTCTTCTGATAAGCATAGAGGCTGGAAGAGTGTCCTGGATTCTTCTTAACAGATGAAAGATCCACTGAGGCAAATTTTGTTAGGACTAACTGAGAAAAATCTCATCTACTACCCAGGTCATCTTAATCATCCCTATGTATAAGACACCAGAGACTAATGATGTATGTTATTGGATGTCAGTTTCACTTGAGGAAATACAGACTCACAATTTCAAAGAGTGCTTTCCAAATTTCTGCCCTGCTTCTATGACCATGATATCATGATAAAAGGTCACTGATTTAGGATAAAGTAGAAGTTCTGCAAAAGAAACTGGTGCAGATTTACCCCTTCCACTGAAGGGCTTTCCACATGTATTAGCTGCGCTCAAGGTTCTCCCCTGGCCAAGATCCAAGAAGTGAGGGATATGAAAGCATTATCTGGAAGCCTAAGTTCAAAAACACGTGAAAGAGGCAGAGTGATTTATTGGCCTATTGACTTGGACCGCTACCTCATGGATTCCAAAGACACTTCCACAAAAGGAATGTCTCTCAGTTAATGTGGGGCCTGGAGAACCATGGAAATGGTCTGGAAGCTTTCAGCCTGCAGGTGCAAGTATTTGTGTTTTTTTTTTGCAACAGCTGTGATGTTCTTTATAAATCTAATTGTTCTCCATTATTGCCTTGATGAACTCAACCTGGAGAGACTCTATTTTCTAAAAGTTCTTAAAGATGGCTTCTGCCAAGAGCCAGATCCTGCATGCTGTGTTTTATCCTCCTAATCTGGTGCACTGAGAATAAACTGGGATTCTGCTTTGTCATCTTCTGTGTCTAAAATTGAAAATAATTAGAGATCAATGAGCTCAGATTCTTACCTTCCATTTAGTTATTTGCATTTCCATGAATGCTTTCTGATTCATGTATTCTTCTTCAAATTGACTCAATTTTGTCAAAGCATTCTTCAGCTTTTCCTGAGGGAAAATTGAACAAAGAAAGTCTATTCAATTTGATTATTCATTAGACTTTAACAGGAAAATCAGCAGTCCAAGATGTGTTAAGATCACAGCGAATATTTATTGAGTTGTTGCACGTTGCTAGGGAGCCTGCGGGGGCGCTGTGTGTCAGGTCACACTGATCTGATCAGCAACTCTGAGAAGCTGATAGGATTTTCAACTTCCTTTTTTCACTGTAGCAAAGGAGACTTGGAAGGGTTTGAGTAACACGTCCAAGTGTGTGCAGGTGAGAGACAGTGGGGCTGGGATTCTGATCTGTGTTGTTACCAAGGCCTGAGGCATCCGCTCTCCCCCAAGTGGCCAGGGAAGCATTGCACACAGACGTGGTAAACAATGAAAATAAGATCTTATAGAATAATGTGCTGTACAAACATAACAAATTCCACTGACTCACACAGAACTTTATGTGTGTTGTGAATTAGAAAGGAAAGACCAGGATACCTGCTGAAGTTATTGGAAACAATTGATACAGATAGGCTAATTCTGTTGCATTTTGAAGAGTGGGAACATGAAACCAATTTAAAAGGATTTGTTAAACCTGATAATGTTTTTAGATTATTTTTCAAAATGGTTTCTTACACTTTTCTTGAAAGCAAAAGTTCATTTTCTTAAATAGGGAAAGAGTACTTTAATGAATTTAATGAAGTAAATTACTTTAATGAATTCCGTCAGGCTCTCAGGAAATGGTTCCACCAAACTGATTTGGCAAGGCTTCACTGCCCTGGCTATATGTCAAAAGGTATTCTAAATTTTACATATTTTAATGTCTTTAACTCGCTTGCCATCTCTGGATATGTGTTTAAGAGGGAAGGGATGGACTTCTTTTATCCCCATTTATGATAGGAAAACCAAGGAATGAAAACATTAAATAACTGACTCCAAAATATCCATCAAAGCAAGGGCCAGACCTAAGATTTCAACCTCAGATGTTGGCCTCTAAGGCTGACAACCACAACCTGTACAGCTTCCTCCCCTGCTGCATGGAGGAGAGAAAATCAAACAGGAACAAGCCTATTACAGGCGCTGGCAGCTCCACAGAATCGAGGAGCACCCCATATGCTGAACAGGGGTGTCAGGAGTGATGTGATCTTAGAAAGGTCGTGGAGCCTTCACAGGAACGCAGGTCTGCGTCATGAAGGATGAATCAGGAGCCCACCCACGCTATGCACATGATCCTCAGTTTCAGCATGACCAAGGGTTGGGGCAGCAGGACTAAGCCAACTCCTTCCTTCACCACTGCACAGGCTCATTCATTATAAGCTCTCAGAAGATACCTAGGAATTACCTAGAACCTCTCCCTCTCTGGGACCCTACTATACACTAATCATTTCCAAATTTGTGTCTCTTCCTCTGGAACCCAGTTTAAAACCCTTGTCACTTCCCTATCTTAGAGGGATAATACAAATTTTATTATTTAATATTCCTCTTATTTTAGGAATATCTGGGTGATATTTTTTCAATCTGTGACCTCTCATTCCTCACATGAAAAGCCCACGGGCAGGTGACACTGTGGTCTAGGATTTAGATTTTGGAAGCTGACCCTCAGGTCCTGTTTCCTGGCTCCCATTCCACTCCTCCACCTTTCTGTCCACTCCACAGGCCCTGAGGCTGGTCATGGTGAAGCTGGAGCTGCAGTGGCTGTGTCTCTGTTGGGTCAGTTTGCTCTGCCTGGATGCCCTCCAGGGACTGAATGTATGTGTCCTCAGGAGCCCCCTCTGGGATGTACCACCTTCCCCTTCTTCCCCTTCTCACCACCCAGGTCCCTGGCTCTAGCTACCATTTTGATGATTTGTCCTCTCTACTGAACTTCAGAAAAGCTACAGAGTTGGGTCTTTGTCCCCTCCCATTTCAGATCCAATTGCAGAGACTGACTTCCTGTGTTGCTACACAGTGTGAAGCAACAAAATATGCAGGTGTTTGGTTGAGCACATCCCGGAGCAGAGAGAAGGCCATGGTGACACAGAGGATGGGGACAGGAGTCTGACCATCCTGCTGAATGTCAGGATGGACAGTGTGGATTGAATTCAGCAAAGATCCATCACTCAGTATATTTCAGAAGAATACCATGCTAAACTTTAGGGTCAACATCTTAGGATTTGTGGTCCATATACTTGGGTCTTTCCAGCAGTATGTGGCTGGTCCCTGCCTAGGCCCTGCTGAGGGCACACTCACCTTGTAGTCCTGGCACACATCTTCTACTAGAGCTGTGGTGTGCCCTTGGTGCTGCGGTGCCCGCTCACAGCGCCAGCAGATGAGCTGGCCGTCATCTTCACAGAAGAGCTGGAACTGCTCTCCATGGTCCTCACACAGCAGCTCATGCTCTGAGTCCTCCATCTCCTTGATGAGCTCTATGAGTTCTCCCAGCTGCTTGTTGGACCGGAGGCTAGTGATATGAAATGGGGCCCGACACAGAGGACAGACAAACATCTTCTGCACCTGATTTCTGCGTATCTGGGAAAGGTACTGCTTCATGCACTTCTGGCAGTAGCTGTGTCCACAGTTGATGCTCACTGGCTCTGTCATCAGGTTCAGGCAGATGGAGCAGGCAGCCATCTCTTTCATCCTTTTGGTCCTGGAGGCTGAGGCCATGACTTTTCCTGAGAAGCTCCAATGTTAGATCTACAGGTGGCAATGAAGCAGCCAACAATTCCACAGGGATGGAACTAAAACTGCTATGAGCCTGTGTACCAGGAGGTGCTGCTGCTGCCCTTGACAGATCTCGCAGACTTCTCTTTGGAAAGAAGAAACAAGTCAGAGTTAAGAACATGTACAAACAGCTAGCTGTGTTTTCTAATATGGTTGCCATTATGAATGTGAACATTTGAATTTAACTTAATGAGTATTTAATAAAATTTAAAATTTCATTGCTCTGTCTATGTTCCTTCTTGGCTGGCTTCTGATACTTCAAATGCTCAACTGTCTCCCAGAGCTGGTCAGCGCAGCCACACACCGTTCCATTGTGGGGTGAAGTTCCCTGGGGCCCGTGCAGACAGAGACCAGGCCTCCTCACAGACTGCGCAGGAGCCACAACTCAGTGAGGCAGTGTGAAACTCCTTCCCATTCTAATGAGTATCAGAATCTATTAGCATCAGAATTATCTCTGTTTGCCTGGTGGTAACACTGGGCCACACTGTCAATGGATGTTATGGTTTGTATCTAGTTGACCCTCGCAAAGCCTCATGAGGTCGTAAGTTGGGCTTTTCAGAAGTGGCTCCATCTAGGTATGTGAGATTGCAATTGATTCAGGGTGCAATGCTAGGATTGAAGGTGCTAGCGTTAAGGGTGTGAATAGGCCTGGATAAGACATAAGTGACAAAAAGGCATTGGGTCCCTTGTCACTTGGTTGCTTTTGCTGCCTTTTGCCTGCCAAGAACTGTTTCTCCTCTGTGATACCACCCAGTCTTGGAGCCAGCCACCTACGGACTGAAACGTCTACAAACTGAGAGCCAAATAAACCTTCCCTCCCTTGCGATGTAGGGTATTTTGTCTCAGCAGTTAGAAAAAAGTAACCAAGACAATGGAGGATTCTACTCAGACGATCAAACTGGACTCCACCTTAATCTCTTACTCCACTTAGGCCAGCGGACATCACAACTGCATCAGTGCAGACACAAATCAGGTGGGGACACAAGTAACCAAGGCATTGAAAACAGCTGGTTTACTCTTTCTGGTCCCTTCTTTGAACTGAGGAAAAGAGATAAGGAGAGGCTGGGGGAAAGAAGTTGTGTGCTGAGGCCTGCTCATTCCTGGGAAGAGAGCTCTGGAGAACCAGGGAGCTTACTATTTCCTTCCCAGACCAGGAACTTGATGCAGGGGCTGTACAGATCATGGGGACACAAGGAAGGTGGAAAAGACAGGGAGAGGCAGGCCTCTGTGGCATGGGGGGGGAGGGGGACTTGACATTCTTGTGTCTACCACTGAGAACCTGACAAGCAGAGGCCACAAAGAAATGACCACCTCTGACCCTTGTCACCTATAGCAAGTGCTTCTGCCAACTCATCCTTGTTCTCTCAGCAACTGCCACCCACCCACCGGAGACTGTATCGGAGGGGAGCAGTTGGGGGAGGAGGGGAGTTTGTACAGTGAATTTCTTTTGATATGACTGTGCCTTTATTTAAAAACAGGAATTCAACTAAAGTTACCAGAAGGGCCATTTTCCTCTTATCACCAGGACCAGTGTCTTTGGACCACACAGGATTTCTCCTGTAGCCTCCCTTTCTTTGATCCTCCACTTCCGCCAGGAGTACACTAGGCCCCTTCTCTGCTAGGGCCACTGGGCTCCTGGGGTCCTGGGCCTCCCCTCCTTTAAGACTGCAGGTTCCCACCCTGCATCTCACTCACCTTATATTCTGGATCTTCCGAGGTGCGGTGTGGATTCTGGTGAACATGAAAGGAGACAAAGGGTGAGAGCTGTGAGGGAATTCTCGGGGATTTACCGAGCTAGAGGGAGGGCCCTGCTGCCAGGAAACAGTCCTTCTGCCCCCACTACCACACAGACACAGACCCTGCCCTGTCCCTCGCCTGGATCTGCCAGGTTCCTTACTTGTTTCTGGTCCTTGCAGAGTTTCTGCTTCCTGGAATCTAAAAATAAACTTGCAGTAAATTCAGAAGTGAAACTACTGAGGTAGGTGGGGCCAATGAGTCAGGACCAATGAGGATGCTTATGTGGTTAAAGTGAGGGAGAACATAGGAAAAACATCCTCTTTCAAAGCAGCAGGAACAAGGAACGTATTAATAGCCCAAGAAACTCCCTGTGGCCAAGCACAGGCAGTGGAGGAGTGGAGGCCTGCAGAGGGCCAGTTCACAGCTCTGATGAGAAGTCTTTCTCTTCTGTCCTCAACCCTCCTGGAGTCCACAAGCCTCCTGACCTGTGGTGTTTTTAGCTCCTTCTAGGTGACTTGTGATTTTCTCACAGTTCTGATAAGGTGGAAATGGGAAGCAGCCCGTGGGCTCCTTGGAATCACAACATCCTCCAATCCAGCCTCTCACTCCTCTCTGTCCTGTGCTGGGTCTCCTTTTCTTCTTTATGATCCCATGGCCTATTTGTCCCTCCCTGCTTCTGCTGCTCCCCAGGGTGTTTAGTGCGAAGTAGTCAGCATGCCTAGGTAGCACCTTTTGGGGTGGCATTTCCTGAACTCTCAAAAACACCAGACTCATATAACATGTAGCCTAGAGGAAGTGAAGCCTCAAAGCTTTACAAAACCGGCATGCTTTTATACTAGATTGAACAACAGAGGGCTTTGTGGAAAAAAATTAATATTTGCGAGGAGGCTGAAGGATTTTAGGATTTACATGCATTCTGTCTACAACAAAATTCAGAAGAGCAAAGAGGAGAAAAATTAGGGTTTCTAACTTATTAATAGAGGGAGAAACATCCAGACCTGTAGCTTGACCCTTGAAGGAGGCTTAAGAAAGGGCTCTGACATTGTCGTTTCAGGTCGCTCTGAAATGGAGATCACTGAAAGAGCTTCCTTTCTCCTTCCTTGGGGAGTGCAGGTGGAATGATAGACAAGTGGAAATCATCTGCTGATTCAGGGCTGTGAGGAGCTAGCATACACTGAGGGATCTTTGGGTTCCTCATGGCTGGAGGAGAGAGCTGCCCCAGCCATGACCCCTCAATCACCCTTTCAGTTTTCACTAGTTCCATGCAGAGGTCTGTCTCTAGAAAGAAATCCATTTGCCCATCTGGTTAACATCCCATTGTCCATTGGTGTCAATGGGGACTCACCAGGGGGTACTGGGGAAATCTGTCTTCTGCTTTGAGAGTGGCAGCTGCCCTAAAGGCAATTACTAGCTGGCAGAGGAATCACTGTTTGGTTTTAGCATTCTATAAGGGACAGATAAAAGCCTGAGCTGAATTATAGAGGAGGTTTTATAAAAAGACCCATGTTACAGAATTTTATCAACGTCCACTAGATGGCACTTTAACATTATTTTCCTTAGCACTGCCTAAAGATTTAAAACCACAGCAGTCACAAGTCAAACAGTTCAAGCAAGTCTAAATGTAGCACGTGTAACATCTTATCTGTAAAAGTAAAACTTCCCTTTAAGAAACATTATAAAGCGATTTACAAAAGGTGCAAACAGTGGCAAACAAGAATGAAAATCAGGATTAATATAATTCAGCAATTGAGAAATAAATGCAAATTCTTATCTCCTGTTAATTATTTGTTAGTTTGCAAAATGGAAAAGTCAAAAGTATCATGCTCTGGTCACTGAGATCCATCTTCTAGTGGGAAGCTTGGCCATGTTGTGTTATAGAAGAAGATGGGCTGTTTGGGCTTCAGATAGGGAGAGGTGGTAAGGTTTGAGAGGCTGCACAAGGCAGGCTAGTGGAGACAAGGGCAGAGCAGTGGCAGATGGATGGGACGGACAGGATTGGAACACACAGAGAGTATGGGGGAGTGGCTGGATCTCTGATGGACGTCTCCAATCGGGACCCAAAGCCGTAAGTGTGAGCAGCTGGGCAAGGCAAACGTCTTTGCAGTTGGTCAGACGCTAAAGGGAAACGGCCTTCCCAGGACTACTATTCAAGACCAGCGCTGCAGTTTAAAAAGCACAAAAGCAGGAAGAGCCTCTCTCTGACTTTATGGGGGACAGTGAAAGGCAGGCAGGGAGGGAAAAAGAGAGAGACAGAAAGACGGGGGTGAGGGGGGTTTCCAGATCTGAAATGTGTGGTGAGATCCAGCATGGCAAAGTGGAAGGAGCTGTAGGAACCAAGGTTTGAGGATATTGCCAGGTGTTCTGAGCTGGGGTGGAGGTTCAGGAGAGTTTAAAGCCCCCCAGAGAGAGCTTGTCTCCCTGCCAGGTTTTGGCACCAGATTTAAGGAACAGCGAGAGGCAAAGCCTGGCCAAGACCATCAGGCTTGTGTAAAGGCAACGCGGCATTTCTGTGCCTGGATGCAGGCAGACAGAAGGCAAAAAGGCCACTTATAGGAAATAAAGCGGAGTGGGCTTTTTAAATAGGGCTTCAAAGAAGGCGAGGGACATTAGGGTGGGAAGATCTTAGTAAACCTAAATGGTCAAAGTTCTCTGGATGTTTTCTGCCTCAGTGAGCAAACTTCTTGAGGCATCGTGTGTAGACGTCCAGGTGTTTGGAAGATGCCGTGCTCCATCTTATCTGTTTTATGACAGCCTGTATTTGCTGAGGGAACTGGTGCTGAGCTGAGAACAATGTCTCTGCTGGCAGACAGGTTGGGCACTAGGAAAGTCATGTCCAAATTGAGCCTTACAAACTGCTTTTAGGTGCATTATTGCTAACGGCTTCTGGGCCCACCCGGGGAAACTATCCACCCTCAACTTCAGGTCAACCTTAGAGTCAGTGTCAGTGAATCAATCACTCGTCCATGTTGGGGAGATTGAAAAACTGCCTTCCATAGTCTCATGACAAGTATGTACAAGTTGTTTCTGGTGGACCCTAAGATTTCCTTTGGGGAGGTGATTTGCAGGCCCATCATTCTGAATAGTCCCAGTTAGTTTCCATCCATAGTTTTATTCTCTTTATTCCTATGTTCTTCCACCTGCCTCTCAGCGTTTCTTACATTCCTCCCTTTGATCATCCTGAAAGCTTGTCCTCCCAGTTATCTCACACTTTGATGTTACTAAATCTCCTCTCGGCCTTCTTGCCCAGAGATTCAGCTCTTCTGTTGCTTCTATTTTCATCTGCTCCCCATCCAGTCCATCACTGTGTCCTGCAGAACTAAGAGAAGCAGCAGTCTGGAAATCAACAACTACCATGCATTCTGGCACTTTCTAATACTGTTGACCGTGGTTAACCACTTCCGGGCCCACCAGAATCCAGGACAGAATCCAGGACACATCAGCTCACAGCCACACACCACTAATGCCACATTTCAGGAGGTACATGTGGACACGTCTCCTAAGACGTGTGTTTATTGCAAGTCAGAATCATTCACTGAACTCACATAACTATGCCTGAAACTGTCTTAGAGATCTGGAACAGTATTCTTAAGTGAATAATGTCCTTACAAACCTCTGCCCTTATGGAATATTATGCTCATAGAGGAAGAGGAGAACAAACCACATAAACAAAATATTCAGTGAGTTGTGCCCTGGAAAGAAAATAGAGCCATTTTGAAAAGGAGTTGGGAGGGAGGGAGGGCACTGGTGTGAGCAGATGGTCAGGGAGGGCTGATTGAGAAGGAAGCCTGGAGTCCAGAAAAGATGCTCAAGGGCTGCTTGGAACCGACTCTTCCCAGAGAGACACAGTCCACGGCTCGTTTAGGAGACGCTAGTGACCTCCCTACTAAATCTCTCAACCTTCTGTTCAGAAGCCCAGCTCTTCTACACTGCTTCCATTTTAATCTGCTCGCTGTCCAGTCCATCACTGTGTCCTGCAGGCCTGTGCTGGGTCACAGGGATTCTCCTGGGTTGCTAATGTGCTCGCTGCTTCAAAGGAGGCTATTTTTCCTGGGTTCTCCCTCCCTTTCAGAATCCACCCCCCACCACCACCACCACCATTGGCCCTGAATCTCTGGCCTCACTTCTCCCAATAGTTTCACTGCTGAATTGTCTCAGTCTGATCCAAGTTAGTTCACTTACAGTTCAGGAAATGGGACCTCTGAGAAGCCTGGCAGCAGGTAGGGGGTGAATTCCTGACAAGCTCAGACCAGTGTCTTCTGGGTGGAGCAAGACTGGTGCTCAAGGGCTGCTTGGAACGGCTCTTCCCAGAGAGACACAGTCCACGGCTCGTTTAGGAGACGCTAGAGCAAGACTGGTGTCTGTGAGAGTGTGGTGGAGGAAGAGAGAAGGTTTCCTGACAGCAGAGCACCAGCTCTGTACCACAGGAAATGCCTGAGAATGTGCTCACAGCTTACACCCTTCCTCTGCTTTCACTTTCACCAGAAGGCACACCACTGCTCAGGAGATCCAGAATATAAGGTGAATGAGGCCCACAGTATATACCTATGGTCTTAAAAAGCCCTCGTCCTAGGAGCCCAGAACCTAGCAGAGAAGGGTCTAGTGCACCCTTGGGGGAAGTGACCATCGAAGAATGGAAGCCTGTAGAAGAGATCCTGTGTGACTCCAAGGGACTGGTCCTATTTAGGCGAGGAGAACTGCCTAGTTGGATAAGGCTATTAGAGTTCCTGTTTTAAAACCTGGATATAGCCATTAAAAGGAAAAGTCACCCTTCAAATTTATCCCCATGTTGCTCCCCTCCAAACTCTGGGGTGCAGTGAAGGTCTTGGGAGAGCAGGGATGGGGTCACAGAAACCCCTTCTGCAGAAGTCATGGGCACAGACATGGCTCCTGGTGGCTCCTCCAGAACATTTGGGTGTCCGACTCTCAATGGTGGACATGAGCACAGCCTGCACTCTGGTTCCTTAGAGCCCTGACCCCTCCTTACCTTCCCTGGGTCCTGTGCTGTACCCCTTGCCTGTGTTCTCACCGCCTAGACAAAGTTCCTGGCCTAGAGAAGTGACAGTAAGTTCCCTGGTTGTCCAGAGCTCTGTCCCCAGGAATAATGGGGTCCCAGGACCTACCTCCCCGCCCACATCTTCTTTCTAGTTTTCTTCTCCTTAGTTCAAGCTGGGAGTGGAGGGGACAAAGACAATAAACTAGTTTTTCTGGAGGTCTGAGAGCCATTTGTTCCCTCTTGGTTGAATTCTCCAAGAGAATTTAGAAGCCTACTGTCCTGTGATCTTCGTGAGTCAGCACTGAGGTGAAGTACAATTCGACTCTCTCAGTGGAATCCTCCATGGACCACCTAACTGGCTGAGTGTTGCTACAATTAAAAAAACAAATTTCCGGTGCTGATTGTTTCCAGTGCCCATTAGAATGGGAAGGATTTCACACTCCCTCACCAAGTTGAGGCTCTTGCTGCAACATTTGTCAGGAAGCCTGACTTGCTTCTCTATTTCGCTAAACTCTAGCGCCAGAGAACTTCCTACCTTGACTGAATGTTCTGTTGAAGTAGATAAAAGAAATAATAAAAAAAAGGTTGAAAGGAGACAAGGAAATTGAGACTTTAAAATTGTACTTTTGAGAAAACTGCAGCTTTGAGACAATTTTTTTCCCCTGCTTCTCGAGGCCACTCTAGCTTGTGATGTTCCCTGTAGAGAATAGTATTAAATTCCTAAAGGTCCTTTAACAGTAACCTATAAATTCCCGGGCACTGGACCCATCCTTTTCACCTGCAAATCACCCTTTCCTCCAGCCCAGGATGAAGGAGCAACATTGGCAAAAACATATTTCAGCTTTAAGCAGCATTTCTGAGCTTCAAATGCATATAGATGGCTTATACTGTAACCTGACAGGGAGAAACACATGCTACATCACCTGCCTTGAATATACCCCTTTAAATGTGCCCTACTCCAGCTTGTAACGCATCTCACTTCTCTGAGTGTTGCAACCCTTTCTTGGATGCATCTTACATTGTCTGCCTAATAAACACTACTCATGCCTCTTTCTGACTTGTGCTGATAATTCTTTTTCTATGCAGGGAGTCAGCAAACCTGCAAACATTTTAAGAGGATGGGATAGGCTTCTTATTTCAGCCTCGAGAACCCCTCAGATCCAGCACCAGTGAGACTGTGGCCTAGCTGTTCTTTAAACACCAGCTATGTGATCTAATAAGCAGTTGAAACATGGCTAGCTACTCTGAGAAACAAGAGTTTCAATTTCATTTAATTTTAATTTCTAAGTTGAATTTAAATTGCCAAGTGTGATATTTTCTGAATATTAGACAACACAACTAATTACTGACCCATCTTCTAAATTAAAATCTGTTTCTCTTCTTTCCTGAGTTAAGACTGCAAGACCTGTGGAGGAGAGTTGCAGCCGGGACCTTGTACTCAAGCTCAGGAGAGGCCACTTCCAGCCCTGTGGAAATTCTGGCTGCTTCATCTGCACCTCCAGATCCAACACTGGAGCTTCTCAGGAAAAGCGTGGCTTCAGCTACTATGATTGAGAATCTAAAAGGGATCACCACCTGCATCATGTGCTCGAACCTAATGGAACACCCAGTGAATATCCACTGTGGACACAGCTACCGCTTCTTATTCATTTGTACCTTCTATAAGGAGAAACCACGGCTTCAGAAGTTCCTCTGTCCTCACTGTGGTTCCTCATTTAAAGGAGGAAGCTGAGTACACAATAATCACTTGGAAAGTCTTGTTGAGCTCATCCAGGATATGGAGACGACAGAGTGGGAGGTGCTGAGTGAGGACCATGGGAAGCGGCTCCAGCTGTTCTGCAAAGATGAGGGCCAGCTCATCTGCTGACACTATGAGAGGATAACACAGCACCCAGGTCATGCCACTGCAAGGTGAATGTGTGGCCAGGACCTCGGCAGGGACCCGATCATGCTGCTCATAAGATCTGAGAGTATGTACCTTCATGCCTAAGATGATGACTCTGAAACCTAGTGTTTTTCACATTGTTCTTCTGAGAAATAGCTTGTGATGGGTCTTTGCTGATTCTAGCCCACACTATCTGTGCTGACATTCAGCCTGCTCAGACTTCTGTCCCATTTCTCTGTGTTACCATGGACTACCCCTTCTCTGGCACATATACAACCAAATGCCTGCATAACTTTTTGCTTCACACTGTGTGTACTGTGAGAAACCACATTATACCAGTTGCTGATGTGGGATCTGAATACAGAAGGAACAAAAACTCCAGTTTTGTGGGTACCCTACAACTCAATAGAAAGGACACAGCAGCAAAGTGATGGCCTGGAGCCTCTGGCTTGGGTGGTAAAAGTGAAGGGGTGCATCCATGGGGGACTCCTAAGGACACAGGGTGTCAAGGCAGAGGGACTCACACAAGCAAAGGTACAGCAGTGGGGCTCCAGGACACATACAGAGGACAGCCAGGCAGGCAAGAAGGAAAAAGCCAGGGCCCAGAACCTGATTGTCACTCCCAGTCTCAATCTTGGAGACAGTCTCACCTGCCCCTGGGGACTTCCATTTGGGTAGTATGGATTAGCAAGTTTGGGAAAATAAGCCAGGCCCTCTTAATATAAAAAAATAACATTAATAAATAAAATTCAGGTTATCCCTATACAAAAGAGAGGGGCAGAGCAGTTTCAAACAAGACTCCAGAAGAGAAGTCATATTTGGAAATGAAGGATGTGAAGGATGACTGGAGGAAGAAGTCTGGGCAGCTCCTGGGTATCACCTAAGAGCTTGTAAAGTAGACTTTTGTGGTGGCCAAAGGAAGGACGTGGCTTAGACCTGCTGCCCCTGCTAGAGCTCAAGAGCTTGTACTTAGCACAGGCTCCTGGTTCTCTCCCAGGTTGCAGACCTGGGCTCCAATGAAGGCTCCACAACCTTTTTAAGGGCACATCAGTCCTGACTCCTACTTAGCAAATGGGGCACTCCTTAGACTCCATGGAGCTGCTCATACCTATAATGGGGATGCGCCTGTTTGAGTTTCTCTCCTACCAAACAGCAGGGAAGGGAGCAGCAGAAGGTCATAGCTGTCAACGTCAGAGGAAGGTAGCCAAGGTTGAAATCTTAGGTCTGGCTTGATGGATAGTTTGGAGCAATTTAATGTCTTCATGCCTTGGTTTCCCTGTTTGCAAGTAGTTATAATACAGTCCCCTCCTTTCCTAATAAGTATAACTGTGGGTTTGTGAGCTTTAAAAATATCGAAATAGGGGCTGGGGATTTAGCTCAGCAGCACAGCACCTGCCTGACAAGTGCAAAGTCATGAGTTCGATTCTTGGTACCAGGAAAAAAAAAATATCGAAATATGCAGAGCTTAGAAAAGCACAGGGTATATAGCCTGGGCAGTGCAAGCTTTTGCTAAATCAGTTAGGTGGAGCCCTTTTCTGAAAGTACTTGTTGGGTTTACAGAGGTCAAGGGCCAATTCTTTTAATTCTTATATCCACGAACAAATTCAAATTCTTCTAAGGAAAATATGATACACTGTTGTGAAAATTACAAGTTTAACAATTCAAAATTTTATTTGTTTTTTTTTTTTTATTTTAAGGATAAAAGGAGGGAAACATTAACAGACATACAACATTTTACAACATATCACAAGTACAATACAGACAATACAGAGTTACAAACAAAGTGGTAGGGAATTAACAATGGCAAAATTTTATTTGAAAACTGTCAATTTAAAATTGATATCATTATGCTTTTATTCAAACTATATCAGAACTCCAGTGTCTCTATTACCTGTTTCTGATAATTTCAGCTGGTATCTTGGTCTTTCTGACTCATCCGTAATACCCGCAAAGTCCCACATGTGCTAAGTACCCTGGAATCCAATGTGTTATTCAGCACATTATTCTGTAAGATCTTGTTTTAGGTGATTATCATATCTATGTGTAGTACTTTTCTGGCCACAGTGTGGTGGGGGGCATGACTAGGTCCTGGTCAGCAGAGGAGATTGCGATCCCAGCCCAATGTTGACCAGTTACCCCTCACCCCACCCCATCCCCACGCCAGGCAACTGAGTAAAGTCCTTCTGAGTGTCTTTTCCCACAAGGCAGAGAGGATGTTGAAAGCCACCAACCTGTTCAGGGGAGGGGAAGGGATCCCCTGTACTGCACATACAGCCCTCTGCAGGCTCCCCCGAAAAACATAAAAACTCAATATCTATCCACTGTTACTTTAGCATATTTTAGAAAGCTGGTATTCCCATTAGTTGTCTAATGAATCAAATTCATGCACTTTTCTCACCCAGTTATTCCCTTAGGAAAAGCTGAAGAAAGCTACCAGAAATTTGAATCCATTTCAAGAGGAATGTGTGAACCAAAAAGTGTTCATAACAATGCAGATAACTAAGTGGAAGGTAAGAATTTGATTCATTGAACATGAGATGTTTTTATTCTAGTATTTTTACACAAGAATGATTGAGACAAAGGACAAAATGTTTTTTTTCTCACTGCACCAGGCACAGTTACTTAAACTCAAAAGTACAGGGTCTGGATCCAGCCTTACAGTATAGAAACCGCCTTTGAAAGCACTCAGGAAACAGTGCATTTCTTTGGCTTGTCAGGTTCTGCAGTATCAGACACACAGTGCTTTTTGGTTTTATCTCTGGAACCCATTAGCCAGCCCTCTAAGCCTTCAGATCAATGAGCTGCTCTGCCTCACCTAAGAATCTTCTGCCTTCTGCCTCCTTTGTGCGTGGAGGTTGAACTCCAGGTTCCCATAGCGGTCGACTGTCGCCTCTGGAATCAAGAGCTCTCCACCCTGATGACAACTTTGTCTTAAATCCATTCTTATAGATACACTTTACCATTTATTGCTTTAAGAAATTTCTTCTGACACAGAGATATTTCTCACATCCAGATAAAATTTGTTATCCCGTTCTAACAGACAAACCCACCCCTAGTTGTGTAAATAAATTATCTGGTACTCCTACCCACCTTTTTCCTGTAGCTGGCTGCATAAGAAAAACATTCATCTTGTGACTATAGAGATTTCATGGTCAATCTCTTCCTCATCTGTGTGCCAGTGGGAAACCTGGGATATTCTTCCAGTTCAAGTGACTCATGGATGAATTATGTCACAGTGGCTGGTTAACTTTCCTCTTCCAAGTGCAATAAAATATATATATAACACATAACATTTACAATTTTCTATATGTTTAAGGGTACAATTCAGTAGCATTAAGTAGTTCTATGGGCTGTAAAGCCATCACAATATCCATCGCTAAGACTTTTTTATCTTTCGAAGTGAAACTCTGTCCGCACTGAACACTAACTTCCCATTCTCCTTTTCTGTTAACCACTATTTGGATTTCTGTCCCTATGAATTTGATTATCATAGGTCTGTGGTGTTTTAGTCAGATCTACAATATTTCTACCCTTGTTTCTGGCTTATGTCACTTATTGGAATGTCTCCAAGGGACAGCATTTTTGTGGTATGAGTCAGATTTTCGCTGTTTAAGTTTGGGTAACATTCCATTGTGTGGGTATACCATATTATTTTTTAATCTTTCATCCATTATGGACAACGGTCTATTGACACCGTTGCCCACATCTTTTTGACTGTAGGACAAGATAGAGATTTAGAGACAAAACTCAAATCTGACTTTAAGAATCTCCACACCTTTCTATGTGAAGAAGAGAAATTGTATCTCTGGAGGCTGGAGAAAGAAGAGCAGATGCTGAATGTTACGGCAAAAATTTGGGCTGTATTCCGCAAGAGACCAAAGAGAGCAGACAAAGTTTTAATTTAGACCGGTCACCTCTCATCCCTATTTGCAATTCTGGGAAGTGGGCGGGGACCTGTCTTTGTTCCCAGGTTATATACATTTTTGGTTTCCATGGTAACAGAAAGGCATGTTGTAGCCCTGGCCACATGTTGTTTTCCTTGTGCCATGTAACCGGGTCAGGCTCCAGTCATGAGCCCAACCACAATGATATATACTTTCTGTACTCTGTTCTATATGTCCCCCTTTAGATAACCATACATTTCCTTTATGGTTACGATGTTTACCTAGGGCCAGGAGATGGAACTGCCCAGGCAGGGTCATGGAGGGTTACCTAGGCCTAGGTGCCCCCTTATCTTGGGAAGACATTCCTGGGCAGTGTTGATCTGGGGAATTAGCTCTTACACTGTCCTGGGAGGCTTCCCAAGGCACCATGTAGGCTTTTACCAAAACTGTTTTATCTAAAATAATATGCTAAGATTCACTGCCTGCTACATGAGGAGACTGAAGGAGAGCGAGGCCAATCTGCAGCAGAAGAGCAAGGAGCTCAAGGACCGCATCCCGGAATTGGAGGAAAAATGTCAGAGCTCAGCCCAGAACCTGCTGCAGGTGCGACTGTGGACTAGAGGAAGGAAAGGAGGATTGTCATCCTGAGCTGTTAGATGAGAATGGTAAAGAAGCTTGAAAGATTAGCAAAGCCTGCTCCTGCTCCAATGTGAGCATTTGTACAGGGAATTTAAGTAATGTCTCTCTTAGATTATATATGCATATCATCAGGGTGACTCTTCTATGTCTGAGAGGGTCCATTTATGTTATATAAAAACACATTTCCACTTTTGGGGAAGTGCTCTGCATTGCCCTACTCCTATAACCACTACTAATGAGGAGGCTCAGGCAGGAGCATCATAAATTGTAAGTGTTCTGACTTACTGAGTGAGATCCAATAAAAGACTAAGATGTAGTTTTAGAAAAGGAATCGGGGATGTTGGCCAATACTAAAGCACTTGCCTATCATGTTGGAGGCCCTGAATTCAATTCCCAGCACTGAAAAAAGAAAGAAAGATGAAAGAGAGAGAGAAAGAAAGAAAGAAGAAAAGTAAGAAACAAACAATGAAAGTAAAGGAAAGGAAAGGGAGGGAGGGAAGAAAAAAAAGAGAGAAAGTACCTACTTTTGGTGAATATAGATGTCACAAGGACCCATGGTATAGCTTTTGTCATCATTTCCCCTTGGATAATCATTTTCCTGATTTGCTAGTAAAACCCTTCTGAGCTACTGTGGGGCTTCTTACAGGTAGGTGAAAGATGCATCCAGTGAAGATAAACAGCTGGAACCAGTAATTCTGGTCACCATTATTGGGACTGTTGGTCCTACTATAGTTGAGGAGGTAGCAAATCTATTGTATCACCTTGTGATACCAGCTGCTACCACCTTGGTGGCCCAGTCTCAGGAGCTGTGTAACCATGGAGGACCTTGATGACAGTGATCTCTACATGGGCTCACTCTGCAGAACATCAGGTCCCTGAGAGCCAGTCTTTTCCAAAGGGAGGCTGAGCAAAGCTCCTACTCATGTTGCAGCAGCCACAGGCTGATGCAGCTTCAGCCAATGTTCTTCCCACACGAGCTCCCCTGGAGATCACAGCCCCTGCCGCGTGGGCAGAGGCCTGATGGGATCATTGCTGCTGACTCTGCAGCAGTGTCACAGGCTGGGTCCCTCTTTCCTTCTTGGGGAGCTGTGTTTACAGACAGTGTCTCCCATGCCACAGCCCATGGAATCCTGATGCTAACACATTCACATTTTGTTCTTTACAGGATGTGAAAGGCACCTTGAGCAGGTGAGTCCCATGTGAATGCGGGAAGGGAGGGTCCAGAGCTGAATGGAGAGGAACACTGAGGAGTCTCTGCCTCTGCTTCTTCCAGGAGTTGTGTTGTGAAGTTGGAAGCTCCTGAGGTCTTTACCTTGGAGATTCAGACTGCATGTGGTGTTGCTGAGCTTTACTTGGATGTGATAAAAATACTAAAATGCTATGAAGGTGTGTGAACCAGGGGCTACCTCAGTGCTATGATTGGAGGGACAGAGGTTGTAGGGTTATTTTCTGGAGCGATGTCTCAATCCCCCTGTCCTCTGTGCTCAGATGCTTATTATCTGATTATATATCATATCCTGATCATCAGTGGCTTCTTCTAGTTCCTGCTTTCCTTATAGTGGCCCTGTTACCCCTGGCAGCTCATGCTATACTGGTTTCCTTCTGAGAAACGAGTGCATTCCCCATTACCATTTCAATGAGTTGTTCTGAACATTAACTTATTCTTATGTGTAAACTGTTAACTTAGTGTGTGGCATAGGGTCAGAGCCACAGCATGGACTTAGATGTGACTGTAATACTTCTTTTGACTACTTTAAACTCTTAGAATAGTGCAAAACAAGGAGGAGCATAATGTGTATTATATTTAAGTTTTGGGGCTGAACTCACATACTGAAATGTTATAACCATGACAGAAACTATTACTGAAGCACATCTTAGGTTTCCTCCTCTTTTTTTTTTTTTTCTGGTAGTCACTGTTTCTTATAGTTTCAAATGCTTTTATCCACAATTACCAGTTAAAAAACTTTGAAAATGGAATCTTTTATTATTCATTTGCCTATAGTATTGGACCTAACCTGACATGGCGTGGTGGCTTCAGGAGTTATCTATTGTCACTAACCAAATTTCAGTCACCTAAAGCGATACCAATATATTACTTCTCAGTTTTGGTGAGTCAGGAATCTAGGCTCTCTCTCGGGTCTCTGGAGGGTGCAGTGATAGTTTGGTACACAATTTCTTCTTGTTTGTCTATGTGATTATGAAGTGGAGATGGGGAAGAGTTCCCGTGGCTCCTCTGTTGTCTGATCCATCAAGGCTGATAGGGCAGAAGAAGGGCTCTGGGCAGGACAGGACCCACACTCATGGGTTGGTTCTGACCCCTGGCATTTCTGAATTACTAAGATGGCGATGATGAAGATAATGGCATTGATGATATTATTCTTGCCATAATTTATTAGGAAATTCATATTTACCAGGAATTTTAGGCAAATATTAGCCCCTTGGATTTTTGCTACCATTCTCTGAAACAGATATGTTGAGTTTCACTTTACAGTTTGTTCACATAGTAAGAAATACTTCCTGGATTTGAAAACAGGTTGGTTTTATTTAAAGTGAATTAATTGTGTTTTCAGGACCAAAGGCAAAAAGAAGTTTCATTTATTTATTTGTGTTCTTGCAGTGAGTGTGACTCTGGATCCAGAAACAGCTCCTCCTACCTAGACTCTGTCTGATGTCTCATGGGTGCAGCCAGCAGAATCTTAAGTTTTCATTCAGGAGATTTACAGCCTTCCCCTGTGTCCTGGGCTGTGAGGGCTTCACCTCAGGAAGACACTACTTCGAAGTGGATGTTGGAGAAGGAACAGCTTGGGATGTGGGAGTCTGCATGGAAAATTTGCAGAGAGGCCTTGGCATGAAGCAGGAGCCTGAGCTTGGATTCTGGGCCATCCGGCTGTGCCCAGAGAATGGCTATGCAGCACTGACCTCTCCGCGCACTGTCCTTGAGCTGTGTGAGCGACCCCTGGTGGTGGGGATTGTTCTGGACTATGAAGCTGGAACTGTGTCCTTTTGCAACATGACCACTAGCTCCCACATCTTCACCTTCCCGAAGGCTTCCTTCTCTGAAATTCCGTGGTCTTATTTCCAGGTTTGTAAACTTTCTCCTTTGTCCTTGCTTCCCTGTGTGGTGTGGGTAATTTATTAATTGTTAACTTGCGTGAAGACATCTAACTGCACTGAGTCAGCATAGTTCTGGATGTGGAAGACGCATTTAAGGAGTGTTGTCAGAACGGTATAAAAGGAGAAGAGGAGGGGAGGATTTCAGCTGATGATCCCTGGAGGAGCTTCCTTACAGCTGCTTTTCTACGGAGGAGTTTTGGGTTTTTTCCCTTATTCAAGAGAGCTTCAATTCTTGTGTTCATCTTGGACGTCGTTTCTTGGCTTCCAGGGCAGATCCTCAGCCTTCTGGCACAGCTCCATTCAGGCTTTTGGTACAAACACTCCAGCTTCCAGCACTGGCCCTCGGGCCTTTGCAGTGAAGATACTTCAGTCTCCCATCTGGGATCCTTCGGCTTCCTGATATGGACTTGCACAGGACATTGCCGTGGGCTCCAGGCCTTCAACTGGATCCTTCCAGTCTTCAGAGCACGGATGTTTTGCATTCCTCTACATCAGACTTTAGTAAGCGTTAACTAATACACCATGGTAATAAAAAGATCAAGTTGCCCTTGTTTTCAATTGGACAGAAAATATGTGAATTCCATAAGAGCAGAAATTTGGTTAGTTTTCCTCATTGCTATTTCTTCCATATTTAGAATAAGGTTGTACTTTTAGAGGCTATTTAAGAAGTCTATACTGAATTAATGGCTATAAGGACTATAAGAATAGCACAGGGACCAGCCTGGTAGAGGAAAAAGAATGTTAATTCAACATCATCCTCTGAATTTCTGTCTGATGGGTTTAGGGCTCTGATTTCTGATAATCACTGTTTGATGATTTGTGTGACCCTGTGGTCAAGACTGTCCCTGCATTTCCTCACTATTTTTGAGCACTTTGGACTCATGTGTGTGTGGCAGAGAAAGAGGAAAATCCTAATAGCAGAAACTTCTAACCATGGACATATTGCTTATTACTGTTGACAGCGGTCCTGGAGGCTCCCAGACCTAGCAAGCTTTCCTGAGAAATCCCCAAGTTAAGTGTGAGAGAAAAGTCAAAATTGCCTTATGAAGAGATGCTTCCAGCAGAAAGGGGAGAATGAGTAAAGAATTGATTTTGATAGGGGGACTTAGTTCTAGAAAAGAGAAACAAGTTCTTTTTTTTCTAGACTGTGTCTAGCTATATTGAAATATATTTAAATTTCAGTAAATAGCATTTGCTGGAATAATTTCAGCAGACTTTATTAGACTTAGACATAATCAAAGAGTACTTATCCTTATAATTGGGTTTCTTTTGAAAAATAACTTAAAATTAGTCCTTAATGGACACATTTGAATGGACTAATGACAAGACCTTAGTGAAGTTGGCCAAAGCCCAAACAGCCTTATCATGCTGATGAGTAAAGGCACAAAATTGCTGAATATTATGATAATTCAACCTGATATAAAAATTCATGTTTGCTGATGTTGTTGAGGTCCTCTGATGACATCTAATAGGGGAAGAAAGGAAGGCAGAGTTGTTTGCAGAGGTTTGTGAGATCTTTATCTTGTCCAAAGAGACATAGAAGAGGTCAGGTCATCTCCCATCCTTCCAGTGTGAGAAGTCCATCTGGAACAGGAAGTTATGGGAAAAAGTAAGTCTTGCTTCACCTCCATCACTTAATCTTAATGGACATGTGAGTTAAGTTCATCCATTTTGGAACCTGCATTATTCCAGAAAAGTAAGAACTTAGTTTCAGAGAGGAGAAAGAAAAATTTTCAGTAGTGTATGGGACTTGTTCCCACATGATGGATCTGAATCCCTGCAGCACCTTGGGTCTTCTGGAGATCACTTCAGTGACCTACTGACACCCAGCCTGCTCCACACAAATAAAGCGGGAATCAGGTGAGGGAGTCCAGCAGAACACTGATGTCCTACAGCTCTGGAGTGATACAGAAGGCCTTCACCCAGGCTGTCACCAAGGGTCTGTTCCTTGGTCTTGCCCAGGTCCTTATCAACCCACATAAGCCCCAAGAATGATATCAGCCCATCCTCTCCCCTTGCTTCCTATCCTCATGGGTTCTTGCATGGGTTCAAGTGTCCATGGTCAGTTGGCTGACCCTTAGGGTTGGGCCAGACCTCAGAGTACAGGATCTGATGTGGGAAAACCCAGGAACCTTGGATGTCCCAGCTGGAGCAGGGCTGGGGAAGGACTTGCCAGGCTCCTTGACCCTTGATCTCTTGCCTTGTGGGCTCCACCACCATCTGGATGCTCCAGAGCAGGAATGAGTTGAGTCTGCACACTGGAAGGTGTACTAGGAGGTTACAGGGAATTTAAAATACTCTTCCCTTGCCACTGTCACATATTTCAAGCAAGCCATTAAAGTTCTGAAAGGATACAGTCACAAGTTTATTTCTTATAAAGTTGTCTGTCGTGTTTTGTTTGAATGTCAAGTCATTCACAGGGAAATGGGTCATAGCAGGAAGCCCAGGGAAGAACTGCCTCCTCCTTCAGCCTTACGGGTGTGTTCTACAGTTAACCAGGCTTTCCTTGGAAGATGTTAGTAAAAAGACGCAAAAAATGTCATAGAACTGTTTGCACTCAGCTTCCTAATTTCTAAGCTTGTTACTATATTTGCTCCAGAGATTCTTTGAGGAAATAAAAGGTGGCAAAGTGTCACCAAGGAAGAGTCTCATCCCCCTACCCCATGGGAGCACCAATGGACCAGAAGACAGGTAGTGTTCCCTCGGTATCTGTTTTCATTAGAAATATTAAAAAGGTTGCCTACGTGTTAGACACAGGATCACATGATATAAGTGAATGGGCAAAGAAAGGCAAGCCAGTATCTATCCATTGCTATCTCTCCTGGTTTTGTATGTGACCTTTTCTCACTTGCTTTTTCATGCCATGGCTCTGATTTCATTTCACCTTTGTAGATTTCATGCCATGGCACTGATTTTATTTCAATCTGTGGCAGAAGGAAGCCTGTGGGACCCACAGCACATGCCACAGTGCAAGGTCTGCTGCTCCGTGGAAGGACACACATGTGGACTCCACAGTGTGGACTGGAGAGCTGTCCACAAGGGACCCCAGATTTCAACAGTAACTAAGCACCAACAGGTCTATTGTACCAGGCTCTCAACGATTAGCCCACATTCTTTTTGTTCTTTTTATTACTGTGACTTTTTCATGCAGGAAAGATAATCTCTTTAGCTGTTTTAATAGGTTTTATCATTTGGGGAACTTTTATTTGGGTAAATTTTGAAAACTGTTTATTCTCTGAAGTCATTCCATTAGGATGTTTTTCTAGATGAGAACAAACATAGAATTATTTCCTTGTTCTTTAAAACATTTCATCCTATTTTCCTTTCTTCTCTTTTTTTGCCAGAAATCTGTATTCTTTTATTTGTTAATCTTCAGTTTTTGTCTTTTCTCATCACTAGTTTCAACCCTAAATCTTACCACTTCTTTTCTCCTCCTTTCCTAATTTTTTCAGCAACTTAAATTTAGTGATCAGATCATTTAATTTTAACTTTTCTTTTTTCCCAAATGATATATTAGATCTTTTCCAGATATCTTTTTGAAATTTGATAATGTGGTGAATTGCCTTAGTTGACGTTCTAACATCAAACCATCTCTATCTTTTACACCTTTCATGATGTAATAAAATGTTTTTATATAAATATTTGTATTTGTATAACTAATCTTTTGGCAGATCCAGCTTTATTTCCTCCTTCCCATATTCTCAGAGCTCTTTACCAGCTCCTTAAACTTCTGCATACATTAATTGCTTACACAAGCGTTTCTTTTGCACTTATGGTAAATGCCTCCTACATTTGAGCCTGCAGATGTGGCAAGGTCCTATGTCAAAATGATGATCTGTAATTTTCAACACAATAAAAAGTCTGTGTTGGTGGGTGACAATCTTTCTGCTGTGATCTGGCACTGGAGAAGCTGGGGCTGAGTCACTCAGAACTTGATCTATAACCCTATGGTCTTTTCTCCCCAGTGTGCAGAACAGATTCATGGGGCCCAGCACCATCGGGCCCTGGGTCAAATGTACTTATTGCTGGGCCATTAGTGACTCCTGTTTGCTGTCCTGGCTGGGGGTCTTGGGACCGTGAAAAGCACCTGAGTCCTCAGAGGGGCAGGGAAGAAGGAAGGGAGACGCAGCACAGAGCAGAGAGGATCAGGAGGTTGGCTCAGAGCATGTTGTGAGGCGAGGAGCCTGCTGTGTTCCCTCCCTTCTCCACCCCCAATTAAGGCAGTGAGAAAGCTGGAAGTCGCCTAGAAAGAGCTAAAAGTATCACAGGTTAGGAGACCTGTGGACTCTAGGAGAGTTGAGGACAGAAGAGAAAGACCTCTCATCAGAGCTGTGAGCTGGCCCTCTGCAGGTCTCCTGCTTTTCCAGGGACTGTGCTTGGTCACAGAGAGTTTACTAAGTTATTAATGTGTCCCCTGTGTTTGCTACTTTTTAAAAGCCTGTTTTCCCTGTGTTCTCTGCTTCCTTTCAGGGCAAGCTGAGAACAGAAGCAGCTTTTTGGCGCCAAATCTGTGGCTCCACCTCCCACAGTAGTTTCACTTTTGAACTGCCTTCGCTCCAGGAAGTGGCAGCTCTGTGAAGACCAGCTGCAGGTAAGGAGGGGGGGTGTCTTCCTGATAGGCACAGGCAGCGACCCTCAGGTGGAGATTCAGGGTAGGGGTGGGGGTCTGAGAGCTCAGTGGAGGCGCACAGAGTGTTTCCTGACAGCAGAGTACCCTACTGTCTACCCCAGGAATGGCCAGAGAATCTGCTCAGATAAAGTCACCAACCCAACCTCCCCCATTCCGCTCCCCTCACAATCTCCCAAGGGTGAGGAGAGGTTGTGGGGTGGACACGGATGGGTTCACAGAAACAGCTACTGCAATAGACAAGCGGACAGACAAGGCTCTTGGTGCCGCCTCCACAGTGCCTTGTTGTCAAGTCCTCATTGGTGGACCCAGAGCCTCCAGCACACATCTCACAGAGGTCTGATACCCTCCCTTTGCACACTCCCTGACTCCAGAACTTTGCCTTCTCCCTTTACTCCCATGACCTGCAGTTTTCCTGGAGGAAGGTCCTTTCCTAGAGAAGAAACAGTGAGCTTCCTATTTCTCTAGAGCTCTCTTCCCAGGAATAACTGGGCCCCACAACCTACCTCCCCTTCACCAGCCTCTTTCTAGTTCTCTTTCATTCAGTGGTCACAGAAAGAATATACCCTTTCTCCCAGTTGCCTTGGTTTCTTTTATTCAGGCCTGGTTGTGTCTGCACCAAAACTTTATGAGCCAGATTTTTACAACATATGTGAAGTGGGATAGGAATTCAGGTAAAATCAGGTTTGATTCTCTAAACAGAACCCTCCACAGACCAGCCAAGTGACCCAGTGTTTGTTAGTGCAGTTTTTCTTTTTTTTTTTTCCCGGTACCGGGAATTGAACTCACAACCTCATGCTTGCCAGGCAGGCACTGTGCCGCTGAGCTAAATCCCCAGCCCCGTTATTGCAGTTTTAAGGAGATAATTCTGATGCTTATTGGCTAACTATTCTTGAATTTCACCTTTCCCCCACTGAGTTGTGGCTCTCGCTGTAACTTCTGTGAGGAAGGCTGCCGTCATTTTCCATCTTTCTCAGCCTGTTGCTCCTCAGAATTTTTCACTGTGATAGAATGTTGTGCCCTCACTGACGTGTGTGTGTGTGTGTGTGTGTGTGTGTGTGTGTGTGTGTGTCTGTGATGCTGGGGTTGGAACCCAGGGCATTACATATAGTATCAGGCAAGTGCACTACTACTGAGTTACATCCCCATCTATTTTATCAGCATCATTATTTTGCTTTTTTGCTTTAAATTTGAGATAGGATTCACTAAATTGCTGAGGCTGGCTTTGACCTTGTGATCCTCTTGTATTACCTCCCAAATAGTGGGAAGGACAGATGTTCACCACCATATCAGGCTGGGCTCTTCTATAGCCACGAGTCACATGTGACTAGTTAGCAACTGAGATGTGCATACAAGACTGAAAAATGGGATTTTAAGTTTCACTAAATTAAATTTAAAAGACCACACATGGCAGTGGCTATAGTATTAACCAACTCAAGTTTGTCTATGTTCTAAACTCCTACCTGTTTCTTCCTTCTAGAGAGAAGTCTGCAACCTGTGGAGGCAAATCCCAAGCCAGCTCCTTGTACACAGGCTCAGAAGAGGTGATTTCTATCCCTGTGGAAATTCTGGTTCCTCTTTTTCACCTCTAAGTCTAACATTGGTGCTACTTGGGGAACACTATGGCCTCAACTCACATCACCAAGAAGATTAAGGAGATCGCCACCTGCTCCATCTGCCAGAACCTGATGATGAACCCAGTGAGCATTACCTGTGGACACAGCTTCTGCCAGATGTGCTTGGAGCAGCACCTTTACAGGGTGCCACGCAGTCAGGGGCAGAATATGTTCACCTGTCCTCTGTGTCATGCCCCGTTCGATAAAAATAGCTTCCGGGCCAACAGACATTTAGAAAGCATTATTGAAGTCTTTGAGGAGATGGACCAAGAGCAGGTGTGTGAGGCCCACGGAGAGCAGCTCCAGCTCTTCTGTGAAGATGACGGCCAGCTCATCTGCTGGCTCTGTGAGCGGGCACCACAGCACCAAGGGCACACCACGGAGCTGGTGGAGGACGTGTGCCAGGGCTACAAGGTGAGTGTGTGACCCAGACCTCAGCAGAGACCCACCCTGTGTCCCTCCCTTGGCCTGAGAGAACAGACCCCAAAGACTAAGATGATGATCTTGAAATACACCTTTTTTCTAGTTGAAAAACAGTTTGTAATGGATTTTTGCAGAGTCCAGTCCAAACTGTCTATCCTAACATCCAGCAGGATGCTCAGATTCCTGTCCCTATGGTCTGTGTTGTCATGGACTTCTCCCTGCTCTGGGACACGTTCAGCCAAACACCCTCGTGGATTTGGTTTGATACTGTGTGTACTGTGAGAAACCACAGTGTGAAGGACGCTGCAAAAGGATCTGGAAATATAACAAAGGGGAAGAGGGCTCACTACCTGTGGGGATCTGTGTTCCTAAAGAGACACAGACCAGTAAAGTGACTGCCTAGAGCCTCAGCCTTGGGCAGTGAGGGGGGCAGGAAGGGAGAGAGTGGTGTATTCTAGAGGTTGCCCCTTAGAATGAATAAACTTAACCCCTGCAGGGCGTTCAGGCAGAGGTGCCTCACCATGACCAGGTCCTGGGGTGTGTACAGAGGACAGGCCGGTGTGGAGAGGTGAAAGGCAGTGGGTCCAGGACCTGTGTGTCAGCTACCAGTCACAATCCTAGACCAGTGTTACCAGCCACTGGAGATTTTCACTTGCAACATAAAATGGCAGTAACTGAAAACAAATCACCAAAGAGCTCCTAAAATAAAAGGAATTTCGAGGGTAGAATTCTGATTACCCCATCAACAAAGATAATGAGAGAGTAGTTTCAAGCAAGGTTCCAGAAAGTCACAGAGTAGAAAATGATAGATGTGGGGTGTGGCTGGAGGGAGAGGTCTGCGCAGCTCCTAGGTGTCCCTAGAGAGTTGGGAAGGGGTGGGCCTGTGCGGCGGTGAAGGACAGAGCTGGTGTAGTCCTGCTTCCCCAGCCCTCCACCTTGCTGGAGCTGAGGACCATGTGCTCAGTGTGGGCTTCTGGTTCATCTTCCATGACACAGAGCTGGACTCCTATGAAAACTCCACAAGAGTTGAGTCCTTTCCTGAGGGTGCTAGAAAATTGGCTTCCAGAAAGCGAGTTTTTTTTTTTTTTTTTTTTTTTTTT